TTGAGGTTCTGAATTCATGTTTGCATTTACTTAATCGAAACATTCGCCAGCTGTGCCAACATTTGTAACTATGCTTGACTAGTCTGCCAGCCTGTGCGTGTTACATATTTGGTTTCCATAATAAGCCAATGGCATAATTACTTTTAACGCAATATTACAGTTCAGAAATTAAGGGCACTTTATAAAACAGTTTGTCTTGATTATTTTAGTCATTGATAGTTTTCGAAAATATCGTGAAACCCATGTTTGGAATAATCTTTGTTGCGAAAATAACTCGAAAATAAATTGAAAGTTAGCACACTTACTGGGACTTTGGGCAACTTTGGGATGATTGTTGATTACAGTCTAACTGTAATTGATAGAAATATGAATATGAATATGAATAGTTCTGTAAAATATTAGTTTTTCCGCTTTTCCGAGGGAGAAGATAATAAAAAAAATATATATGGCTCAGGATAAAGATAAAAGCGGTTATTAATATAAATCTATTTGAGAGTCAAATAGATATATATATATATATATTATTATTATTTATCTAAATATACATATTTTGTGTAATAATGCTTACATATGTATATTATAATATCATCATTAAAGCATAAGGGAGCCCTAGCGGTTTTATAGCGGACTTTGTATGGTGTCGACGATCTGTCTGCAAAGCTAATCGCTATGAAACACATTCCCGTTCTGTACCACTTATAGGATTTCTGAAGCATATCTCTAGGCGCAATTTTAAACAAGATGTTTTCTGTGATGTCGAACGATTAGCTAAAATATATATAACAGTAGTAAGTATTCCCCTCGGACGCCTGAAAGTCTGTTTTCATGAAAGTCTAAGTCTTATCTAAGAATTTAAATATGAATATTAAGAGAATACATTCAGTACGATTCTTGCACCTGAAGAATACGGGTAACACAGACGCACACATATACATACATATCATTATATATGTATATACATATGTATATTAATAGATCAAAACCATCCCGATGGTAATTTGCTCATAAGTATGTATGTCTGTATATATTCGTATGTACAGGTGTGTAAGTTCGTGTATGTTATGTGTTTCAAAGAAGCTTAAAATGATTTATGTATCCGCTCTTCGCAGGGCTCAGAGCTTTTACTGGTTTCCGCATAGCCTATGATCACGTCTCTTGCAGTTGGACATAGTCAAACATATTGGATAGATAACAAAACTGCCAAAGCCAGCTGCGAATGATTTGCTTGTGTTTTCTTCCATTTAGATTAATGAGTCTATTGTAGTATCATATTATCCGTGATTGATTATCCGTGTAGTCGGCAAGTAATACAACGGATTCGGACGAGTTTAAAGTCATGGCTAGTGGCTTCCAGGGCTGAGTGACTGGGTTCATCGAGCCATTTGTCAGCTGAGCAAACAGATGCAATCATTTTCAAATACGTATTTTTTTAATGTCACAACCGAATTCCAAAAATTCCTATTAACTGTTGCACTGGGCTTGAAATTTGTTAATTCCATTCGATTTGAGATGCGGCTCGGCCAATTAAAGAACAGTTATTTTGCAAGCAATAGAAATATTTATTAGAATGAGTTCGTTTGGGAATCGGTCAAGCTGTAATTAGCCTTGGAGTACTTTAACTCCGCGTCTACGAGTGACAACACTAACCGGGACCCGAATCTGCCTTCGATTTCCACCATTTCCATTGCCCCGTCTGCATCCGTTGGCACGCACTAACTTCAGTTGACCTTGCAATTGAGCGTACCTTTGACTCAATATCCTGTTCTTCCTTTTTTGTCTCCTTAGCTGAACGCGTAGCCGCCTTAGGCGACGATTCCCAGTGCCTGTAGAGGTAGCAACAGTCGTAGCGTCCTCTGAGGCGGCTGCCGTGGTTGCATCATCAGTGGCTGCTGCGTCTGCTGCTGTCGTTTCTTCCTCTGCAGCGCAACTAGGATCGTCTGCATTTGCTGTATCTGCGCACTCGTCTGCAGTGCATGCGCCCGGAGTTGCGCATTGCGCATCGCTGCCTCGAATCAGGCAAATGGCCAAGAAGACACAGCCTAAGATAACCGTTTGGATTCTCATCTCGATACTGGGAAGCTGGGTTTGAATGATAAACTGTGACAGCTGCAGCCCAATTTATACCGTTCTCGAACTTGCCAATTTCTATTTGCCTTTGGTTTTCTTATTGCGTATTTTATTGAATATATTAGACTCCAGCTGTGACAACTTCACTATTCTCAAACAAACAACTCGTAATTTAAATGTTATTATAATCAAGAGCCACAAGAAAATTCGGAGCTCTGTTTGAGCTCGGAAATTTTCGTATTTACTTTAAAATTATATAAATATTTGTTTAAAATATTATTACGTTTATCCATTTGTGATGTCAATTAATTGTACATACTTTGAATTGGGCATTTTTACGCAATTTCATATAGATACTCGAGGGAAGAACAACTAAAACACACTCTAGTCGGCAGCTTCCGACTAAAAGATACCACGGAAACTTCGCAGCGCTGCTATTCGAATCACCTATATATGCATAGCACGCAACGTAAACATTGAGCATTACTTTGATGGATTTATTGTTGAATAACTTTTGTTGTAGTTGGACTTGCCGAATCGACGGACAGATAAATAATTAGAGTATATATAGAGGAATATATTTTCAATTAACAAATTAACTTTCCTGGCGGTCGACGTAATATTTAGCCTTTTTTCATAAAAGACTTTAACAACACTGACGGGTATACATAAAAAAAAAAGTCTTGTATGCCTGAAACTATGCTACATGATGATCGAGCTTAGAGATAGGTAAACCCAAAATATATTTTGGTATTTAACACTTTGAACAGGGCTAAAACCTGAAGTACATTGAGCGACGCTGAGTACTGAGTCGAAAATGTTGAGTGAAAGAGTGCAAAAGAGTTCAATTGAGAAAAATAGAATCACCAGAGTGAATGAAATATTGATATGCCATATTTTTCGATCCACCTTATGCTTCATTTATTTCTGAACATCAAAATTGACATTGTGCAGATTCAATAAAAACATTTCGAAGGCAAAGCCACTCTGAGCGGGACTCCACACCAATAGAACTGAATTCGTGTTAAACAATTCAATCGGCAGATGGACTGCAAGAGTTCCGACTATATAGAGGAACATAACACTGAGGAACATAACACTGTCGAGATTCTCTTAGTCGCTGATAGACAGGCAGCGCACTAAAACCTGCTTGCTTGGGATATCTAGAAGACAAGGCATATGTACATATTATGACTTACAGACACATTAACTAGAGTAAAGATAATAAGCTACATCAATGAAATATTAAAAAAAAAAAAAATTATTGCACTAATTATATTATTAATAAGGATCTATGGAAAGGCTTTGAAGAACTTGATACAAATAAAAAATCCCTAATAAGTAAATACACAAATTAGTTGGATATGCACGGCAAATATTTATTGAAATTAATTGAATTGGATATTGGTATGGTTGTGTTTAGCCGAATAGGGGCCTCTTTTGAAGGACAACTGGCCTGTTGACAGCATTTCTGTTGACAAGCACCCTGACACACCGTCTGTTCTTGAGCTTAAGGTTGTTTTGGCGCAGGATAGTATTGTTTCTACGTAGAGTCTGAATGCGTTGTCTTAGACGGCGTAGCTGGACGGCACATGTGGCGCCTGTAGATGGGGCTGCAGTGGTCGCGCCCGTGTCCGGGGCAGCTGGCGCAGGTGCGGGTGCCGGTTCTGATGGGGGTGTCTCTGGGTCCGGAGGAGGCGGAACTAAGTTTTCGCAACCTGCTGGCTTCGGATCTACTGCGCACTCTGCTTCAGTACAGGAGTCGGGACATGCCGCATCGCTGGCTCGAATCAGGCAAATGGCCAAGAAGACACAGCCCAAGATAACAGTTTGGATTCTCATTGCGATATCGGAGAGTTCGTTTTGAATGCCAAATTGTGGCCAGTGGAGTCCAATTTATACAGATTTGGAGCTTGCGAATTCGTACTTTAGTGTTTGTTTTGCGTGAATTGAAGCATTTACCATCTGTGACAACAAACGCAAAATATTCTCAAATATTCCACAAAGTGTTTTTTTTTTTTTATGAGTTCATGTATTTAACTGTGAAAACAATCAAACAGTCAAATATAAAAAGCTTTATCAATGTGTTCCTTAATCGCATATACTAAGTAGAGTTCGCATTAGCATAGGCTTATCATGCATATTCCGCAATAATTATTGACTAATAGGTTTCACATTGTAATTCTTATATTACATAAGTTGATACAGATCAGTCTGATTAATTTTAGGTCTGATAGATGGCTAAGAGCATCATTTCTCCGGCTTACCTAACGCATACGGTATAAATTTTTTGAATAAATATATGAACAGCTGTCTAACTGAACAATATTTACTAGTTTCGTACGCCCGTAGCAAAGGAACATCCAACTCTGTTAGGCTTACTATATTCGTATGTCTGCACATTACTCAACAAATAATTCGCTTTTCAGCAATGTTTATTTTGGGTTTTTTCCTTCGCAACCAGAACTTAGCTGTTTAAAGAACATTGACGTACATTGTGCTTTATTTTATCACACATTTGTTTTTGGATAATTCATATTTTTGAACTGCCATTAATAGGCATTTTATATAAATCTATATTTATATTATAGCTGCCAAAGTGCACTTCATATTCACGCTTATATATGTGTCCCGCAATTTGATCGTATGTTGATTTTTTGCGAAATTGAGTTTTTAATGCAGAACGGTTAGATAACGTCTGTCTAATATGCTTGCATGCAATAACAAAATTACTAAAATGCTTAACATGTAGAAATATATTTTTCGACATACGATCATTTCGCTGGAATGATACGATATATGTACATTCAGTCTGTATTTGACCTTATATTGTTTGCAGCACAAGTTAAGGTGCAACGGTAAATAGACAAAAATTATAACCAATCACAAGGGAATGATCTAAAGTTATGCAAAACCATTCGGAGTTCAAGTGTTTATATATTTCATAAAAAAATGTTAAGCAAAGTTCCACGTCTACTTGAAATAAAATATCATTTGTATATGTATTTATATTTCTATTTTTTGTACTCCAATATAGGAATCAAGGAGCTTAAGTTAGCCTAAGCAAGTAAGCGTGTTTCACTCGAGATCTCCCGAACAATACGAACAGCTGGTATACCAATAATTCTTTGTTTATTCACGCATAAATACAAATTTGTATAATTAATAGACGAAAATAAAACATTACCAAAATGTTTCGATCCGCTTTTTATAACGAATAAATGCAATTAGCGTAGTCCTAATAATCAACAAGAACTCAATTAAAATAATAATGTATAAATAATCGTTTATGTTTTAAAGTACAAATATTGAACCAAGAAATATTTTAATTCTCTAGACCTATGTCTCACTATCTGCAGCCCCCAACTAGCTGCATAGCAACACTTGTTTAATTATTTTTATTTTTATTTACAAATTTAGGTAAACCCAAACAAGTAAGAGCGTTGCAGTCGGGCGTTACCGACTGCGGAATACTCATTCATATCCCATCAGCAATTTAGTAGCTGAGCTTAGCTGTAATACTGTAGAAAACTCAGTTTTTCCCGATTTGCGACTGGGCGTAAAAAATATTTTTGGATCATCGATAGAGAGGGTTACTAGTAACATAGCTTCTAGCTATTATAATTTAGTAGAAAAATACCTTTGCGGTTTGCCACGCCCCCTGTGGGCAGACATATATTAGTCGAAGCTTTATGGTTTTTGATGGTCGGCCCCCCTGTGGCCCCACTAAAAGCCGAAGACATTTAATCTTGTCTTTATTGAATCATAACATTAGCTAACGTTCAAGGCTCTAGCTGTAAAACTTGCCCCCAATAGGCTTTAATATATCTCCCATAGCCCGTGATCTTGGGTGATCACTCCAATAAATTTCACTTTTCTAAAAAAATTGCGTTCATACGTATAGACGGACATTGCACACAACCAATATACTAATTCACTTTCACTTTCACTTTATTTCACTTTAATTCACTTTCGTGAATGAGTGTAAAATGATAATTGTATAGCCCAAAAAAAGTAACACCGCTGCCTGAGGCTGTTCCCTGTTTTCGTTGTGAATAATAATAATCAAATTTTATTTATTTATTTATTTATTTTATTTTATTTATTTTTTTTTTTTTTTTTGTATATGCTCTTTGTTAAACAAGTTTATGAAATTCATTCAATTTACTTAAAATGATAAACAGCAAATTAATGGTTCAGCTCAACCCCGATTGGCGAATGGTCGTCTGGCCCTGTTTGCGCCTCTGTTTTGGTTCCTTCTCCTACGCATCATTTGAGCCCTTCTCCTTTGGGCGCGCAGGCGCCTTTGGCGCCTCCTTCTGCGTTGGGCCCTTCTTTGATTCCTCCTCATGCGGCGCAAGCGAGCCCGCAGTCGAGCCACTTCAGCCTGCGCTGCACTAGTAGTCGTCTGAGAGCCGGAATTGGAGACAGTTGTAGATTCTGCACCTCCCGGAGCGGCTGACGATCCTCCCGGAGCGGGTGTCGATTGTTCCGGAGCGGGTGTCGCTTGTGTTAAACTGTCGCAACCTTCTGGCTTCGGATCTGCTGTGCACTCTGCTTCAGTACAGGAGTCGGGACATGCCGCATCGCTGCGTTGAATCAGGCAAATGGCCAAGAAGGCACAGCCCAAGATAACCGTTTGGATTCTCATCTCGATGCCAAGTAGCTGGTTCGAATATCTATCTGTGGCCGCGACAGCCCAATTTATAGCAATTTTCACTTGTAGACTTGCCCTTAAATTTAGTTAGCATTGAATTAAACACAATCAACCTCATTTTATTTAGACAGTTTTACTGATTTGAAGCTATCTGCGTCATGTTTTTTTATTTAAACAGTTGTTTATTGAAAGCAGTACAGAACATTTTAAATAGATTTGCCCTAAATATAAATATAATATGTCATACTTAGCTGCTAGCTCTGAAACTAGGTGCTGGAATTCTTACGAACTCAAAGCATATTTCTAGGCGTATGTGTTTTTTATCATTAAACGAATTGGGAAGCGAACACATAGGCAATTTCGGACAACTAAAAGCTTGAAATTAAATAAATCATTTCAATGCTATATTTCAAAACAAAACTATACCTTATTGCTCATTAAATGAATATTAATAAAAATTTTTTTATTTATTTTTTTTTATTTAAATTCTAAATATAAAATTTGCCAGCTCAATAAATGCTAATTTAATTTATAAAATAGAGAGCACAATGTTCAGTTTAATGATCTATTGCATATTACATATTTATTAAATTTGCTAGCTTAAAAAATATTTATTCAATATACATATAAATAACAACTCTTCATTCGAATTTATTGAATAACAATAGCTTATCTTAAATAAATGTTTTCATTTTTTTTTAATTTTCTCTTAAAACCGTTAGACTCTAAATTAGACTCTAGATTAAAGCAGCCCGTGCTCTTTCGCACATAATATAAGTAGCTAACCCAATCAGCTCTACGTTTACCTAGAACGTATTTTAATATATATATAAATACTTTGCTTCTTTTATCTTATCCCTGTCTTTAAAAAGGCGTATCACATTTCTTGTATGCATAGTTTATTTAAGATTTGATTTAGCGTCTGCTTATATATCCAAAGTTAATTAGAATCGGACGTTTGCCAAGTCGGAACCATTTGCCACGCAACCCAGGAGATCCAGCTGGGGCTGCTGTCGTCGTGGGGAGCACGGTTGGTGCAGCAATAAGACAACTAGGATCCAAGGCATTTAGCGGAATACTACAATCGGTACAGCCAAGAGGAAGTCCATTCGGATCGCAAGGCACGCCGGCGCTGCGATCTATTAGACCTAGGACCAAAACCGCACAGCCAAAAATCAAAGTGTGGACTCTCATGTTGCTGTCAATGTCAATATGCAAAGAGAGGGCCGAAACTCTTCAGCTTTTATAGTAAATTTTTTAGTGAATATTATTTGCTAATTGTGAATTGTGCTCTCGGTTTTCGCAGCTGTGCCAATCATAATGAACTCTTTTGTTCTGTCCGTCTAATTAGGTATTTGCACAATTGCATAAAGTTTCTAGCGACAAGAATACCAAACTTCAGCTGAATTAAGGCAAACAAGAGCATGGTTTGAGTCGTCGAGGGCTGTTTATAAAGTATTTCTAGGATGGCTGCTTATCGAAAGATAAAGTCTAATTTTTGGACCATTAAAACTATCTTGCCACTCAAATGAATCTTAAAGATCAGAAATAAATACTCCAATAGAAGGTTACTTGAGGCAATATTATATCTTAATCTTAAAATCTGAATATCTAACATATATGGCATGTATGCATATGAAGCTGTAAAGTTGACAAGTGCAGCATGCGAATTAATGGATGTGGTATGATGTGATGTGGTTGGACTTAACTTGTTTAGCCTTAGAGAGACACAGAGATATCAAGAGCACACTCATGTGCTGCTTCAGTCATAACACACACACACACACACAGAGGCAAGCACTTACCTTGCACTTACGAAAACTAACTAAATGCGAGCAACGCTCAAGGTTTATGCCAGCATACAAATGTGCTGCTGTTTGTGTGTGTGTGTGTGTGTGTGTGTGTGTGCAATGCATCTGTGTGTTCTGTGTGTGTGTGCTTAAAAAGCTCTGTTGGCACTGGAACAAGTGGAAGCCAAAGAAAAATGCAGCAATCGTCTGGCTTAACTGGCGTGTGCTTTACGACGCAACATTTTCAAAAATTATTGCCAACTTATGCGTTGGTCGCGTGGGCGGTGGAGGCGTGGGGTATGTGGGGCTGGTTAGGTTGCTCAACAATAGCAACAGCGAAAAAATCTCTATGCCAGCTGCTCTCAGGTGTTGCGTCGCATTGTCCAATTTGTTAAAGTGCATGCTGAATAATGCAGTCAACGGCCGGACGCTCGACAGCTGTCGTACTGCCGCCCCTATTGACTGCCTCAACTAGCATCAGGGCGTCAGCAACGGATTCTGTGCTTTTCATTTGCAAACGTGCCGAAATACGAACAAAATCCGAACAAAATTAAAAGTCACATTTGTTGCCACTCACTTCGTTGTGAATTTAGCTCGGGCTGCACTTGGTTTCACTTGCATCTCGTTCTTGTTGTTCAGCCAAGCGAAAGAAATTGTTGTCTTAATTTCTCCGTTGGTGGCTGTCAGCAAAAGTTGAGAGCCACTCGTTTCGGTTTGAGCGTTGAAGGGGCTCCTTGGAGCAGAGAAAATATAAAGACAATGACTGACCTAGCTTGCTTCCTCGTTGCTCTGCTTCAGTTAATCAAAGCACTTCAACTTTTGCTTACCTTGAGGTCTTGTTTCAGGTTTCTGGTTTTCCCCTGCGCAGTTGGACACTTTAATTGCTATAATTCGAAAAATCAACCAACTTTTGTGTTTGATATTAAATCAAGGGTTTGGTATTGCGATTAATAATTTATGGGCTATTAAAACAATACGAATTCATGTAGGAATACCATAGAAAATAATCGACAAATTGTGTGAGTTGATATACATCGGCATGAATACACAATATGCATATATAGAGAGGCATATGTATGAATAAATACAAGCTAATATATTCAATTTTTCATCAATTTTAATTGGGCAAATGATTTAATTGGCATAGGCTTAACATGTAAACTTTATTATTTTTCTCTACCCGTCCCTCTTCTACTTTTTCTATGGCTTTTTCACTCTAACTCTGTATATATATATGTATATGCATATATGTATCATTCTGTATTGCTTCTGCCCCTATCTCTTTCTCTCTTCCTCTTTTTATAAATTTTGATGTTTCTTCTACAGTCATATCTTTCTCATTGTCTCTATTTCTCTCTCACTCACTCTCTTTCTCTCTCTCTCCCTCTTTCTTTGTCGCTCTGTGATTCTTGTGTATATCTCGCTATGTCTTTGTCTCTCTCGCTCTCCCTATATGTATAGATTTCTATATAGCTCTCTCTATCTCTCTCTCTCTCGCGCCCAGTCTCTTTCTATCTATGTTTCAGTATCTCGTCTGTCTCTCTCTCTCTCTCTCACACACACACACACAATCACTCTCTCTCTCACACACACACACACAATCTCTCTCTCTCTTTCTCCTTCTCTGTCTACCAGATTCGTAGAATTCCTTTTCAGCTCTATTTCTAATAATTAGCACTTCAATTCAAACATATAGTCTCAATTATACGCAATTAAAGAACACATCAAAATATTGCTGTCAATCGTAAGGAGTAAGGAGTTTCCAAGTCATTAAACATTTATTTTTAAACATATTATTGTCGATATATTTCTTTTATGCAGCACGAACACTCAGCAACCAATAATAACAACAACAAATGAGCAACTAAAAAAAAATAAAGAACAAAAACAAATTGCCTTAATTTGGCAAAATTGTGCCACAACATACAGTTAGAAAAGTTATTTTTGGTCGGGGGAGGGGGCCATTGGGTGGGGGAGGTTTGGAGACAAAGGCTAAACTGTATTTGTCGTGGATAGGCGCACAGCACGCAAGGTTCCCAGGTCGATGTGGCCCTCGTAATTGGCCCCTCGCACGCAGCCCGAGGGCATTTTATATTCAATTATCAGTTTGGAGGAGCCCGACCTCTTATGGCCAACTGCTAATGGTTACCTTTGACCGGGCGGGCTCAGTTTTATTTGGAATTGAACGCGGGCCAGGTGACAGGTCGCATGGTGCTATAAGCGCGCAAGGAATTCAAGGAATTCGGCTCCAGCATGGCGAACAATGTATGCCTACTCGCATGCATGCCACACACATGCACAATTCATATGCACATACATAATACATGTGCCACTCTCATACAACCTAAAGAGCTCTCGAATAATGCCCGCTTATCATTCTATTAATATCAAAGCTTCGGCTTGCGGCGCAATTACAAGAGTTAATTAAATGCCGCCCACGGCCACAGAATTCAATTATTTTAGCTCCTCCTTGTGGATTGGGTTGTACACAATTTAAGCCTTTCATTAACATTTACAGAACATATGGCCCTCTCTCTCTCTCTCTCTCTCTCTTTATCTATCTCTATCCTCATCTCTCTCTCTCTCACTCTGTCTGCATTGCAGAAGTCGCCGCGCAAGCTATCCAATTCATCGGTGCATGCACTGCCCGAGAGTCGACGCCATTTGATGGAATTGGATGAGGGCGAACTCTTCATGGAGCTGATACGTGACGTGGCCAACGAGCTGGACATTGATGTGCTCTGCCATAAGATATTGGTGAACGTGGGCCTGCTAACCCATGCGGATCGTGGATCTCTCTTTCTGGCCAAGGGCACGCCAAACAACAGGTACCTGGTGGCCAAGCTCTTTGACGTCACACAAACGACAGGTGAGCCCCCAAATGCCAATTTGCGAAATTCCAATATCGAGATGCATTGTCCCAAATGTTGCCAAGCGACGACAAAGCGACGGAGCAAACTGCAAATGCTAACTGGGCCACAGCTCTAGCCGGGGCTATAGACCAGTCTGATTAGGCCAACACAACAAAGAGATTCATTCGAAACAGCAATCGGACTCTGAATTGAATGCACAGTTTTTCAACTCGTCTCTACATAATTGAGCTGCTTTTTGATAGTCCATTCGAGGGCAGGCATAATGCAAATCCCAGCAAGGACTGCCGCAACACAATAGTTGTGCAGCAGCTGGCAGGGGACTGAAGATGGCTTTAATTTCGACCAAACTTGTTTTGGGCCAATTTCTATCCAATGGCAGTCTAGTTGGTCAATAGCTATTGGCTGGACCTGGGACCTGGTATTGAGAGTGTGCATTGAGCAAGTGCCACCGGATTCGACTCGACTCGACTCGTTAGCCCACACAAATTGACGCTCATTAGCGGCTGAGGGCGGCGAGGCTGGGCACGGAGGCTGGGCAAACGCATTAGCAAATTAAGCCTAAGCGGAAACGGGCATTAAAAGTTTCTTTTTGTTTTTGTTTTTTGGTTTTTTGCTGGGCAGGGCAGACCGTAAAACTCAAAAGGTTCCATCGAATGAAAAATAGATGCTGGCTAAAACGTGTTCAGGCAAACAGAGAGCGAGGGAGGGTGGGAGAGAGAGAGATAGAGAGAGAGAGAGGGAAACCTTAAAGTCACCTCTTCCGCTACATAATTCACATGTGAAAAGATTAGAGCTAGAGCAGCATTAAGGTTTACTTTTTGGCAAACACACACACACTCGCAACACACACACACATGAATCGGCAAATGCAAATTCAACTGGGAGTCACGAGCAGCGACTCGCAATTTGACTTTTAGCGCCTTTGGCCTGGATTTTTGTTGAAGCTAATGTATCTTTTGCATGGCAGACTGAATATTTTGCCTATAAATTTAATATTTATGTAGATGTGTGTGTGTGTGTGTGTGTGTGTGCGCTGGCATTGCTTTTTAATGATTTATGCGGCCCTGCTGCTACTGCTGCTGCTGCTGCTACTGCTGCTGCTGCTGCCGCTCCTGCTGCTCCTGCTGCTCCTTTAATCTAATCTCTTTTACAGCACTCAAGGATGCAGTGACGCGGGCGCGAGCCGAGGAGATCATCATACCGTTTGGCATCGGCATCGCTGGCATGGTGGCCCAGACAAAGCAGATGATTAACATCAAGGAGGCCTACAAGGATGCTCGCTTCAATTGCGAAATCGACTTGAAGACCGGCTACACAACCAACGCCATACTCTGCATGCCCATTTGCAACTACGAGGGCGACATCATAGGCGTGGCACAAATCATCAATAAAACCAATGGTAAGCCATGGCAAAATTAGCTCACTTGTTCGTTCGCCGTTGCTCAATGCTAACTCCTCGCAGGCTGCATGGAGTTCGATGAGCACGACGTGGAAATATTTCGCAGATATTTGACATTCTGCGGCATTGGCATACAGAATGCCCAGCTGTTCGAGATGTCCGTCCAGGAATACCGGCGCAATCAAATCCTCTTGAATCTGGCACGCAGCATCTTCGAGGAGCAGAACAATCTCGAGTGCCTTGTCACCAAAATCATGACCGAGGCCAGGGAGCTGCTCAAATGCGAACGCTGCTCCGTCTTTCTGGTGGATCTCGATTGCTGTGAGGAGGTGAGTGAGTGAGTGAGCCACGCTCAATGGGGGTAATGAAGCCGTCCACTGTTATCCTGTTGCTGGCTAGGGCATTTGCCATATGAATGAAATGAAAATGTTTTCGCTGCCCGCCCGACTCGTTCGGGGCGTGGCAGTTGCGGCAATTCCGGCGATGTCGCTGTCAGTTTCATTAAAATTAAAATGCTTTAAACGCCAACGCGGACATTTTTCCAGTCTCTCTGCCTCTGTCCGTTTGACAGCTCGGAGTTGTGTGTGTATGTATGTTGGTGTGTGTGTGTTGGTGTGTGTGTGTGCTGGTGTGTGCGTATGTGAGCGCACCCCAAGGAAATTAAAATGTACAATTTATATTACAATTTTGCTTCTGTTTTATTCGGATATTTCTTTCATTCGAGCAGCGCAACAACAACAATCGCTAAGGTAAATTAAGTCAAGCCAGGGCAATTCCCATTGAGCTACTAAGCAACGACTCGCAATGCCCTTTCTACACTCATTATGCAATGCCCAAAAAGGCAGCGGAGAATCTCCCAGCAAATTTTTGTTTTTTTGTTTTTTTTTTTTGCGGCTTTCAATTCAAGGCAACATCTCAGTCCGTCCGACTGTCTGTCAGCCAGTGTGTGTTTCGAGTGTTTGACATCCAAATAAACCAACTGCCGCCTGCTGCCTGTGGACGGAGCTCTGGAGGCAGCTCAAAACAATTGTTCAAATGAACAGTAAATGTGCTTTTACAGTTTGTTTCGCTTTTGCATACATTTGTGTGTGTGTGTTTTTCTTTTAGTAATCTATTCGACGTACTTAAAAGTTTCCATCGTTTCATATTTGCTCTGTAACTTGAATTGATTTAACTAAAGTAATATTTATCCTTGAATGTGTTGAATAGAGAATTCGAAAAATGTTTTGCTGCCAGCTCTACTACAGAGACTCACAGGGAATTTGATTTATGTATGTGAATGAAATGTAATTCTGAACATCTTTGAAAAGTGGGGAAATATACAAATATTTGCCCAGCTGCCACGTAGATTACCGGAAATTCAGCATACTTCAATCAATTTAAAACACTTAAAAACACATAGCTCCGATATATTTGCATATAAATATATATGTATAGGCTTATGTGTATACATACTTATTCATATATGTATGCCATTGTGATGCATTACTGGCCCATTGAGGCCCGAAGTGAGGCTTTGACGTTTGCCGTGGCAATTGTTATTTATGAGCGCCATTCCAACGGAGCTCGACTGAGCCATGTAACCAATTAAATTGAACTGGGTCAAGCGTATTAATTATGATAATATAGTTTTTAATTAATTGCATTTCAGAGTATGTGAAATGCGCATTCATTGGCGGTAAATGTTTTTTCTACTGCTAAATTAAATTCTGATTGCTTTTGATTATGTATTCATTGCGTTTAAATGGGATTACCCAGCCAATGGCCAATTAACTAGAGTCCGGTAAAACCAATATATACATATATATATATATGTATATATATGAATTGGGAGGGTCCTTAAGTGTTGAAAATATGCCAAGTCATGTGCAGCGCGCCTGCCTCTCTCGCACTCTCAGCCTCGTCCCGCGTCTGCGTCTGCTGGGGCAATTTATCAGCACAGCAGCTGCAGGGGGGGAGCCATTAGTGGCAGCCATTTAATGTCCAAGTGCCTTGCATGCCTCTTTTCGCAGAGCCATTTGGAGAAGATAATCGAGAAGCCTCATCAGCTCCAGCAGCAGCGCACCTCGCGTGCCATTATGAGTGGCGACAGCTTTGAGGAGAAGGTGAGCTGGATTATTTTTCTCATTTTCCCCGATTTCATATGCATGCATCCGTGCATGTGCGCCATTCAATTATGCTTGCAGCAGAATATGCGCAATCGCTTCACCGTGCTGTTCGAGCTGGGCGGGGAAAATCATGCGGCGAATGTCTCCCGGCCCTCCATCAACGATCTGAGCCACTCGACGCTGGCGCAGATAGCCCAATTCGTGGCCACCACCGGGCAGACGGTGAACATCTGCGACGTTCAGGATTGGGTGAGGGAGCACAATCAGATACGCGCCGAGAGCGAGATCGACAGCACCCATGCCATACTCTGCATGCCCATTGTGAATGCCCAGAAGACGGTCATCGGCGTCGCCCAATTGATAAACAAGGTGAGTGCCCAGTCTGAGGTGCCCCTTGGCAGCTGTCTGACGTCGCTCCTCTGCTGCAGGCAAGCGGTTTGCCCTTTACCGAATCGGATGCGTCCATATTCGAGGCGTTCGCCATATTCTGCGGCCTGGGCATACACAACACGCAGATGTACGAGAACGCCTGCAAGCTGATGGCCAAGCAGAAGGTGGCATTGGAGTGCCTCAGCTATCATGCCACGGCCAGCCAGGATCAGACCGAGAAACTGGCCCAGGACGTCATTGCCGAGGCCGAAGCGTACAATTTGTACAGCTTCACCTTTACGGGTAAGTGTGTGGCATACTCCCGGCCTTCTCGATGCTTCATGATCATGAATCCCGCCTAGACTTTGACCTGGTCGATGACGACACCTGCCGTGCGGTGCTGCGCATGTTTATGCAATGCAATCTGGTCTCGCAGTTCCACATACCCTACGATGTAAGTGTGTTGGCGTAAGAGTGCCCTAGCATAGGAGCCCACATGCATTCCATTTGATTCGCTTTCAGGTGCTCTGCCGCTGGGTGCTCAGCGTTCGCAAGAACTATCGCCCAGTCAAGTACCACAATTGGCGGCACGCCCTGAACGTGGCTCAGACAATGTTCGCGATGCTGAAGACGGGCAAAATGGAGCGCTTCATGACCGACCTGGAGATACTGGGCCTGCTGGTGGCCTGCTTGTGCCACGATCTGGACCATCGCGGCACCAACAATGCGTTCCAAACCAAAACTGAATCCCCACTGGCTATACTCTATACCACCAGCACCATGGAGCATCATCATTTCGATCAATGTGTCATGATACTCAATTCCGAGGGCAACAACATATTCCAGGTGATAATCAGAGAGCTTAAGATTTGATATATGTATGTGTATATATAAATGCCAATCGAACCCTTAAAAGTATGCTGTGGTATATTGAGTGATTAAATTTGCAATATCCGTTAGGCAGTTATACGAACTTCAGTTATGCGCAACACTTTAAAGTTGCTGTTCCTAAAAGTATGTAGTCTATCATGATAATATAAATTAAACAATACAATCTTAATAATAATCACAATATTAAATCCAAAAGGGGAATAAGGGAAATAAGCAGATATATAGTTAAGCTATGAAGTTTTATGGGGTTACTTGAAGCTTAGAGCCGGTATAAATAAACCTAAGATAAACTTCTCAGGAAGGTGTTCACTTGTTATAGACATAGATTCCAAAAACATCGACTTACGCCTCAAGCTGTTATTATTTAAATACTCAATCCAAGTGTAGAGAAAATAAATACCTTAAGATCTGCTGATGCTCACGCTAGGACTCTAGAACTAAAACAAGATCTACTGAATTTGGCTTTTACTGAAAGTATATAAAATATTCCCTTGAACTTATCTGTGGCATTTACATCCGGTAGCTCTGTACACCAAAATGATAAGTTTTTAATCAAAAATATCTATGTAAACCTGTTTTAGATAGCGATTTTATTTTTTCCATACAACTATATGGGCTTGGGTATGCGTTCAGATTTGTATATTCCCATTTTTCAATGAAACCTAAATTTGTTTTAGGCTATTATATTGTAGATATCTTTTATTTTATATATATGTAAGTGCCTTTCGTTTTATTTCTGTAAAAATATGGAGCCTTTATTTATTTATGGTAAGGTATTCCAATAATAATCTCATCTTTACCTAGTTTTTTGTTAAGTAATATATAATATAATGTTTGATTTATATAGTTGGAAATCTCTTAATTCATATAAAAAAAATTAAAATCAAGTTGATTAAATATTTGACATATCGATTTGTTTCACCCAACTTGCCCCAGGCTCTGTCGCCCGAAGACTATCGCTCCGTCATGAAGACTGTCGAAAGCGCAATACTCTCCACCGATTTGGCAATGTATTTTAAGAAGCGCAATGCGTTTCTCGAGCTGGTCGAAAATGGCGAATTCGATTGGCAGGGCGAGGAGAAGAAAGATTGTAAGTATTGTAGAAGAGCACACTGTGCGTATACGTAATATTTTGTATACATCTCCCTCTCTCTCTCTCTCTCTCTCCCTCTCTTCAAGTGCTGTGCGGCATGATGATGACGGCCTGCGACGTGAGCGCCATAGCCAAGCCGTGGGAGGTGCAGCATCGCGTTGCCAAGCTAGTGGCCGATGAGTTCTTCGATCAAGGCGATCTGGAGAAGCTGCAGCTGAACACTCAGCCTGTGGCCATGATGGACAGGTGAGTAAATGGAAATCGATTATATTGTGAGCAAGACTTGATGTGGGAATTGTAGGGAGCGCAAGGATGAGCTGCCCAAAATGCAGGTGGGCTTCATAGATGTCATTTGTCTGCCGCTCTATCGAGTGCTATGCGACACGTTCCCCTGGATAACGCCGCTGTACGAGGGCACGCTGGAGAACCGACGCAACTGGCAGGATTTGGCGGAGAAAGTGGAGATGGGGCTCACCTGGATCGATCACGACACGATCGACAAGCCGGTTGAGGAGTTTGCCGGCTGTGCCGATGAGGAGATCAAGGACATTGAGTTCACAGTGACGACGCTCAACTGCAATCAGCATGGCGGCAGCGCCGGCGGTGGGGAGGACACCCACACACCGGAGCATCAGCGCAGCAGCTCACGGCTGAGCATTAAGAAGACAGGCGCCTTGGGCAAGGTGGTGCGCTCGAAGCTATCGAAGACGCTCTACAACAGCATGGACGGCTCGAAGCCAAAGACATCGCTCAAGCTGCTCGAGTCGCATGTCAGCGAGGACATGGACGACAAGAGTCCGACCAGTCCATCCCAGCCACATTCCGGTAGCGTTGGCCGCATGTCCGCCTCCTCGTCCACATCGTCAGCGGGCACCGTCGACAAGACAAAGAAACGCTCCAAGCTGTGCGCGTTATTATGACGAAAGCCGTCTAATTAGAGTTTGGTGACCCCCTCCAGTGCGCCTGGCAGTGAGACTGACAAAAGCGGAGGGGGGCTGACCGAAATCTAATTGGCTGAACAGTTTGGCTGGACGGTGTGCATAGCAACAAAATGCCAGCCATCAATCCTACAATTATAATCTCGAACGACATTGTCTTAACTAACTAACTAACCAACCAACTAACTAACGATAGTAACTAACTAATTAATGTGTAGTGCAAGTTGAATGAGAACAACTTTAGTTTACTCTACGTGTATATGCCTATAAGTAGAGACCAATATACCCACGCCCTCACACACCCACACCCACAAACCCACACCCACAAACCCACACATACCCATACAGCAAAGATAATTGCAATATTATACCTAAGTGAATGTCAAATCATGTGATCTATTTAAGGTCCTAAAGGCCAAAGCGCATGCGCATTAAGCCTTTTGGTATACTCTCTTTATCTCTCTCTCTCTCTCTCTCTCCTCTTCCGCTCTTCTACTATCTATCTGTCTCTGTTTTTCCAGCTTTGAATCTGAACGAATCGTAACTCTAAGCTCTTAGATGTTTGTACACCACACAAAGTCAAATATATGTATGTACTATATAGATAATCGATATAAATGTGTTAAGTAGTTCTTCGTAATCGAAACGTGCTAGTCAAACGTATAAAATACCAGATAAATAAATATATATATAGAGCATACACATATGTTTAAGCAAGAAATTCGACGAGGCTATGCATGACTAAACTATCTAGTTTTATCGAGGCTGACGTGGCCGAAAAAAAATAAAACTATTACCACTAGTCCGCATGTGATAAATATATACACGTGTTGTACTCGTACTCTTAAACTCTAGATGGCATTACCAAATCCAAAATACAACATGTACTAATATGTTTAACTATATTTAAGCAGCTGTTGAAATAAAAAAGCAGAATTTGTGAAAAATACAAACTATAGCAATATTTTATGATATTTCTAGACTAGATAAACTACCTAACTATATAAAATATTATACTTATAAATATATATCACAATACACTTGAAAAGCAAACAAAAATCTCGGTAAATTGTGCACGAAAATTAATTTTAAAAAATATTTGAAACTATTAGAAGAGAATTATGAATCGAATGTTTAATTGTAGACAAGAATTAACAAGTATAAATGAAATTTGTCAATTTTAGAATTCAACTCAAATCTAAATGGCAAATAAGCAAATATCTAGTGAATACAATTAGCACCTAAATACAAATAAAGATCAACAAATATCTCAAACTCTCTGAATGTTGAACGAAGTTACCAAATCTTAGGTGTGTGTATAAAATGTGTTTAAGTAACTATATACAATAGACTACTCCTACAAATGTACCCAAATATAAATATATATACAAATAATAGCTAACGCTTGATTGTACATTGTAGGCACCATCATAATAATATATGTATATATAATATATATGTATATTATTTAGACTATTTTTCTAGCTATTCTATCGCGCCATTGAGAATCAAAATCCAGACAACTTTATAAACAAACTTAAGAACTTGCTTATGAGTGTAATTCAAAACTTTGCCTAGACAAATATAAGAATCTATAGCTATATAGTTCGCCGCTAGATGATTGACTATCCCTCAATTGGCTTTCAGGCACTTCAAAGTTTTCTAATTAATACAAGAAAAGTAACACACAATTTTTATAGCACAAACCGTTTCAAGTTATTTTTGACTAATTTTCCCAATTCATGTAAATATATGAGCTTTGAGTTGATATTAAAGAATTAGATGGAAAAACACTTGCTTTTTATTGCGAACGAAAACTCAAGCACAAAATCGCTCGTTTGATGTTCTTATCAATATTATTAGTTAATACAAGTTATTAAAATTCTATTTATTTGTGAAACTATGTAAGTGAATGCAATTGAATCAAAAATAAATCACAAAATTGAAAATTCAACAAAATTTGTTTTATATTCAGGCGATTTCTATTATAGGGTAATATAGAGCTGTTACAGCTGCACTCATCATAGTCTTTATACAATGTTTATACAAACCCAGGGGAAATATAGGCCACAGCCTTAGCATCTTTTGGCACGCAAGGCATCAATACGACGCAGTCTAACAGAAGATACCCATATTCTCGCTGTCTTCTCAAAGAGTCATTCGAACCAATTTTGACTATTATTATTAGCCGAACCCAATCAAATTTTTTAGTTATAATTTAATATAATTATTTCTTACTTCTGTATATTTTTTTAGACTTTAAATTCTTTAAACCCTTTTTCAATTTCAATTATAGCTGATATTTTTTAAGCAATAGTGAAATTCCCATCATTTTTATCAGCCAATTATATTGTCCACGAGTCATAGATTATATGGGCTAACAATTACTTAGTGGAGTAGAGAAAACAATTCTCTGTATTTGAGTTATCTAAATAAGTAGTCTTCTTATTTACACAACTGAAGAGCGTAGATGTACCAATACAAAGCCAAATCCATAATGTGTGAATATTATATGGTATATGCACAGAAGGCGGCCTGATATTGAAGGTTTTATAGTTTATAACATTTATATTTTATAGGTAAAGGCAAAAGTCAATAAAAATTCCAGTTTAATTTCGCATCTGCTTGGGTTTGAAGTTGAGTATTTACTGTTTCAAAGCCGTGACTCTCAAACACCAAACATGAGACTACATCCAAGTATTGACTATCAATAAACTTTGATAACCAACAAAAATAGATAATGAAACAGTTTAGTTAAAACATATAGATACAATAGCTACAAAGATGATTAAATAATCAAAAATAAAAATAGAAATAAAAATGTTTATATCATAAATATTAAAAATGTTATGATATCAGCTTGTCCTAGGCTATAAGAAACTAATAACTAATACTAGTGCTATCGCTATCTTATAATGCCTGCAACAGGTGCGATGATTCATCTATGCGTTATATAAATAGCTTTTTATTATTTATAGACTAGTTGATATGAAGTTGCTTACGTACATTACATAATCACACGCTGATGCCTTTTTTGTTCGAAAGCAAATAAGAAATAAAGGCAAAATGATTTTGTTGCCTCGTCAAGGTCGTATTCGATGCAAATATTAGGCCTACAAATATTAGGTCATTATTAATGCGGAGCGGCATGGGAGCTATGTTATTTTGGCAATGGTCGTAAAAAAGAATTTAAGAACTAATTTTATGTGGCGCTCAGTCTAAAATTAATCAGAGTGCGCCCACAATGTATGCGCTTGTTAACCAGGATAAGCAAATAGAGCGCAAATCTGATGCTGTTGTCATTCCCGTTCCCGTTCCCGTTCCCGTTCCCGTTCACGTTCACACTCCCGTTGTTTGTGGTACGCACATAAAATGGTGCATAATCAAATATTAGCCATGAGGCGAGCTAGCGCAGGAAACCTTTATTTGCCTTATTTGCCTGCGACTGGCATATATTTACCCTGGAAGTGACATCGAGACGCAGACGTAAGATGGCCCCGAAGTACATGCCAGGCGATGTCCTGCTGTGATTTATCTAACCGAACTGTTCCACGCCAACTGCTATATAAATGCGGCTGCCAATTGGGATTTGTTCATTCACAAGCTGCAAGTAGCTCGATACCCAGTGACTGTGCCACCTCCTGTTGCTGTATCCGCTCCTGTTCTCCACTCGCTGTCGTCCCTTGACAATGGCTCACAACAGTCTGACTGTGGCTCTGCTGGCGCTGGCCTGTTGCCTCTGCTGGTCTCTGGTGGAGGCTTCGCCCGACGAGGAGCGCTATGTGGAAAAGGAGTACAATCGCGATCTCTATGACTGGATTAACAATGTCGCACGCTATGGACGCGTCCAAATGCCGGCCACACTCTGCAAGTACCCAAACTATCTGGCCAACTCGCTGACCAACACCATGCGCATGCCCAAAAGGAATTCCGAGCTGATCAACTCGCTGCTCAGCTTGCCCAAAAATATGAACGAAGCGGGCAAGTAGATGGATGGATAGCAAGCCATTTGCAACTCGTACGATAATAATGATATAGATACGATATATGATATATGATATATGATATATATATAGAGAAGAAAGACGGTATATTGCTAAGTATAAAAGTCGCTTTAGAATTTCCCAAACAATATAAATATACAATGAAAAAAAAAAAATGCAAAGAAAAAAAAAAAACAAAAAAATATTTATAATTTTTAAGCCTTTCTAAGTTCTTCTATTTCCACATGACTCTCAAAGAATTCACCAATTGCCTGCAAAAAATTGTCTTACAAATTTATGCGCATTTTCTGGCAGCTACAAATGTAAACCCTAAGTAAAATATTTAAAAGATAATTAAAAATGTTAAAAAATATTTGAATTCCTAAACCTTGACTTGGAATTTTTATGATAATAGTTATTTGAGCCAAGTTAGTCGATGTACGCAAATAGCTCGCAGCTGTTCAAACCAAGCAACAATTTTGTATATTTATAAGTTCACTTTTTTTTATTAAAAATTGAACAGTTCTTCACTTGGTTATGTCAATAAATCTCTATATATATTTATTTATATATATATATATTCATACATATATGTATATGTGTGTAAGTTCATTTGGCGCTGTTTCGAAATCGTTCAAGACTTGTGTATAAAACTTTATGTATTTTAAATATTCAAAGGTTCATCTCTTTTAGTTATTATGTGCTACAATTATATATTTGTATTTGCACTAAAGCAGAATGTTTTAGATCAAGTTCAAGATTAGATGCTTAAATCAAATACAATATAGAATATTAAATGTATTAACAAAAATTTGTTAAATTAGTTAAATAAAAAACAATAACATATGCAAAATTTATGTATGTGTGTGGGTGATTTGTTTTGTTTGTTTGTTTGTTTGTATAAGTAAATGTATGTAACTATGTTTTTAGCTCAAATGCAGTATCAGTAGCTTTTCACTTAATCAACTAGCAACGCGCTGCTCGCTCACGCATAAATACTCATACTAACTAACACGTTAAGGTTAAACTCTGCCTTGGCTAACAACTACACAAACTGTTAAACATATAGCTCATATTGACTGTGACGTCAATGCAGCTCTTTCACTTATGACTAATGCACGTGCTCCACAAATTAAAATGAAGATGCTCAGATCCATTAAAAGGTCTCATCCTTGTATCGATCCGTTTGAGCATGCACTCCAGCTCGCATTTTTGCACTTGTTTTTAAATGTTTATAAAGCTTTAAGAGGGAACACACGAAATGGCTTTTGACTTGTTGCGGTTTCTGTTTTCTTGCTGTTGTTGTTGATACAGATGTTGGCTGTTCTGCGAGACAGCAGATGCCTCACATGAAAAACTCATTGGCTGAATGTGAAAGCGGAAGTCACGTTCGCCCCGGACGATCAAATATGGTTATCTCTATAACGCGAAGACCACGAAAGGTTGGATCGATCAATTGCAGACCCTTTGGATTGTAAATGCGTTCATTTTGGGAAGCAACAAATTTGGAAATCTTACGCAGCGTCTATATAGAAAAAGATATTAACAAATGAATTCAATGTACCAAATAATATTTCAATAGCTAGGCTTACCTTTTCGTAATGTGTCTCGGAACACATATATATCAAGTACGCTGTTATACAACCTATACAGCCCTCGCAGTAGGTGCTGCACGAGCCCTCCTCTGCCTCGGCATAAAATTCGTTAAGCCTGTTAATTGTCGCCTCAAAGACGTGCCTTTCAATCTATGAAAATCAAAAACGAAATACGGTTCAGGTCTATTCCACTGTTTTTTTTTCGGGTTTACCGATACATACCATGCCATCGAGCTCTGGGGGTAGCCTAGTGTGAAACTTCACTGAGGTGCCATCGCTATAGTCCCGTTGTATGAAGACCTTGCCGCCATGCAGAATGGTTGGATTGCTCGTTGATGGTGTGCCACCGCCTTGTGACATTATTGTACTGTAAAAATCCCATATTCCGTTAATTAACTCAATCTGCATGAGTCTATACATTTGGTACATCACGATCATTTTGGACGGACAGACAAACAAATAGATAAACAAACAAACAAACAAACAAAACCAACAGCAACAATAAGAATTTGCAAGGCCCACTTTGACTTGCTCAGCAGAAATAAAAGACAAAAAAACAAAAAAGGAAAAAAAACAATGAGCTAAGGGCGGGGTTCAGTCCCATAGCACTTGGCCTTGTAACTATCCCAGTACTGATAACTGTTAATAATTAGAAATAACTAGTTTGAAATTAGAATATTCATGTCACTTGCTCGACCCATGCATAATTTACATATTACAAACAAAACAAAATTTAGTAGCTACAACTTTAACTGTATGTAATTTGCTTTGCATTTATGTTTCAACAAATCAAAATATGCAACAACTGAGTGCACAAGGTTAAAGTTATGAAAGCCGTTGTTTATACCTTATTCTATTCGAGATTAGTTCAGCAATTAATAAAAATTCAATTAACAATTTACACTTACAATTCGCAACGCACGTAACGTGTACACAATGGCGTCTGACCATTCACAGTTTTCGTCAACAGCTAATCAGCTGTTTAACCAACACAGTGTGGCCATCGCGTTTCACAACCAGAATATCATATCGGTGCTGCCAGACCGCTTTTCATGTTGCAAAGTTGCCGTTGCAGTTTCAAACTGTTCAGCCAACTTTGAGATGAATGAACCCTTAGATTCTTTTAATTTAATACATATGTATATAACTATAACTAACTGTGAATTTAGTACACGCCACTTCAAAAGCTCTCCTAGCAAAGTTCGATGACGCCCGCAGTAGAGATTTCAAAACATACAACAAACGCATTCCCATTGAATTATTTGCACAGCTTGTGAACGCTTGCGCTTACATTTTTTGTTGTGTTTTGTATTTATTATTACTTATATATCTTTTTTTTTATTATTTATTCTAAAAACTGTTTTGCTCTATTTGAAAATGGTGATGGTGTTTAGTATCTTCACAAAGTTCCAGCATGAGGGCTGCTTTCAATTGCCTTCTGCATTTAATTTTCCTAAAAATTCTTTGTTTCAAAGATTCTCTTGCCGTGCCCATTGTTGGGGGCCGCATTGTTTCTAGCGTGGGCAGTATCTGCAAATCAACTTGACTCTGAGAGACTTACTAAGCCCTCAATTCGAATTACAGATGGCGCCGCTAAGTATCCCTTTATGGTATCATTACAAGATGTGTTGAGTGGATATGGAACTGATGGCAATGCTACCCAGAAGCGGGTATATCAGCACTTCTGTGGCGGAAGCATCATTAGTGAGCGCTGGATACTGACTGCCGCGCACTGTGTCTGGAGAAAGTAAGTATGGCTAGAGGAAGACAAGAAGAGGAAGGACAGAGAGGTAGAGAATGGTGTTAAGAGTTAAGTAAAAGGGAAATATTAAAAGTAACGAGGATTAAAAACAAAAAAAAAAAGTAGAATATAAACAAATAGATTTTTATTTCATTTTGCTTACGTTGGAAATATTATAGACTGCCTTCGAACCTGAAGTTTTCTTCATATAAATATTTTATTTTATTTTATTTTGTGCAGTAGAGCAATTTAATTTTTTTTTATAATTTAATAAAAGTTAATTTTTCTACTTTTTCAATCATGCTAATTTGAGAGATATTCTCTACTTAAGATAGGTGTGTATTAATATTAACTATCATTTAAACTTGCAGAAGAATTGAAAACATAGTCGCTTTCATTGGCTATGAAAATATTGAAAATGTGGAAAATCTAAAACCCCATGGTGTGAAGAGTGCAGAATTTATTTACTTTCAGCCGTAAGTATGGAAATTTTCAATCTTTTTTAAAAACCTAAATAGTATTCAATAAGCATATGTGCATATATTCATAGTTCCAACTACCGCAATGATATCGCTCTGCTCCATCTGAAGCGCTCCTTCAAAGGAAAATTGGCCAAGGACTTGCAGTTCGCTCAGCTGCCGCCGCATGGAATGAAGCCCAACAGCAATGGTGGATAAACAAGTTGATTAATTAGTGTAAAGCCCAAGGCTAATCCTTTTCACAAATTGTGATTTTAGAATCGTGCAGAATAATTGGATACGGTGCGACGAGACATGCTGGGCCATCGCAGAAGCAGCTCTTCGAGGCCGAGGTGCGGGTGATTGGGAATCAGCAATGTCGCAATATTATCGGCCACATTTGGGCGCCCAAAAACGATGCGAATACGGTCTGTGCGCTGGGCAACAATCAGGACTCGTGCCAGGGCGACTCGGGTGGTCCGCTAATATGTCCATATGGCGCGAATGGGCGCGAATACATTTACGGACTGGTCTCCCACGGCCTGACCTGCGGCATTCCTGGCATGCCCAGCATCTACACAGTGACACGACCCTACTACGAATGGGTGCAGCTGCTGATCCAGAAGTAACGATTATACATATAATTTATTAATTATACTATATCGAAACAGAAAACATTCGCGAATACACAGACACGACACGATGCACATACATATGCATATGTATATGTGACAATGCAAGAAAGAGTAAAAATAACAATTACGCGTAGAAAAAAAACTTAGGTCTAGAGTACTGGTAGTATGACAATTGTACGATAAGCAGATAGATATATAGTATGCATATATATATACATGTATGAGTACATATATATACATACATGTACAGTTATACAGGTATAGGTATCTATAGGTTTCATTTAGATTAATTTAACTAACTGCAGATGGACCGGCAGGGGCTACTGCTTTTCGGGTGCACTCTCTATGGCTGGTGCGTCCTCCACCTTGTCGGTGAGCTTGTCCGTGCCGGTTTCGGGCAGTGTAAGCGTCAGCAGACCAGCTACTAGAACGCAGCAGCCGCATATGGTTGTCGGAATGTACCAGCCGAGGGCGCCCAGGACATCGACCACATATGGCGCTGATATGGATCCGACATGCGCCCACGTCGAGCAGGTGCCCAGCGCCGAGTTGCGTATCTCTGTGGGATACAGTTCAGCCGTGTAGAGCGTCACCACCGAGTAGGTGGCGCTGATGCCAAACCGACCCAGCATTGCAAACGATACGATCCACGTGGTGCTGCCAGCGGGCACGGACAGCACCAGCAGCAGCGAGACGCCCGTCAACATGAAGAGGAACATGGTGGTGATGCGACGACCCGTGTACCGCAGCATTATCACAGGCACCACGTACGACGGTATATCCACGACACCTGTGGCCACAATGTACAGGTAGCGACTGACCGAGAAATTGGCGGCGTTCAGAGCTGCGAGAGTTTGGAATATTATTTTATTGCTCCAACTATATATAGCTGATCTTACCCGTTACATAGTAACTCAGTGAGGTGACACAGAACATGAAGTACGACGTGAATATGTAACGGCGCACCTTCGGATTGGCAAAGAGCTCAATAATTGACTTGAGTGGGCCATTCTTTAGCTTTTCTACAAGCGTATCATTCGTGGCGGATTCCAACTAAATACATAGAAAATGGAAATTAATCAACCAAGCAGTGGCTTTCAAACTGTAATTTGTGAATGAGCTAGATTTGAAATGCCACGAGCTCAAGTCATTCGGGAATAATTCTAGATTATGACTATATGAATGTGGCCTTCTGAACTGGATTCCATTTGATTGAAAGCAATCTAAGCATAAGTCATATGTGGCAGTGATCTTTCAACTTATTTTGTGTGCAGACTGGTATTAATCAGTTATCTTCTATTTCTTAGTGACTCTTAAACTGTAAGTCTAATGCAGTTACTCTTAAACTGTGGTCTACTGATGTGATTGCATGATCATCTGTTGTTTCACGTGAATTCATATACTGATTAGACAAAGCTAAAACTAAATCTGCGATTAGGGACATGCAGTGACTCTCAAACTGTGATCTTGTGCCAAATTGATCGTAATTAAGCTGACGTCTGTACCAATCTTGATAGTCTGCAATTGGAATCACACGCAGATCATCAAATTCAGTCAATTATGCTGCGCGATTTTTCGCTTGACAACCAACTAATATATAATATGTTTATTGAGGATAAATCGGATAGATCTTTTTACACACCGTCTTCTTATCGCTGCACGTTTCGGTGGCTGTCGCAATCGCGGGCTGAATATCATAATGGCTGGGCTGACCGAAAAGGATTTGGTAGACACGGCTGTAGCGCTGCTTCGTTATAAGCCAACGCGGCGATTCATTCATCAAACTACGGAGGACAGGAATACGCATTGTGTATCAATAAAATATATATGTAATAATATTAAGCAAGGTCAACCCACTAGCAATTGAGTATGAGCAGCAGTGAGGGTATGGTCAAGGCCAGTTGCAGATAGCGCCAGGGCTGGATCAGATAGCCCACGATGGCCAGCAGGATCATGCCCACAGGATACGAGGCAGAGAAGGCAATGGACATCCAGGTGCGATGCTTCAGGCAAATATTCTCCACAACTAGGGGAAGATTGATGATAATAATGATAATCATAATCAAATAATAATGTAGATATCGTATACGTACTCATTGTAAATGCGGGATAGAATAGGCCGGACGAGGCTGAGCCCAGGGCAAAGCGACCAATCAGAAAGACGCTGTACCAGGGCGTGAAGGTGCAGAAGATGCTGCCGGCAATGAAGAAGGCGGCGCCCAACGTAAACGACGTCTTCCGACCAAATCTAAAAAGTAGATAATACAAATAACTACTGAGACTACTTTCGCTTAGGCTGGACTTACTTGTCGGCCAATATGCCAAAGCTGAAGGAGCCGCAGAACTTGCCCAGTGACAGGGCCACCTGCGCGGAGGTGCGCTGAATGCTTCGCTCACAGGTGAGCTCCCAGTCGGCCACGAACGTTGTCTCCGGCTCGGCGTACTCGTAGCTGCCCTTGGTCTTGCAGGACACCACGGTGGGCTTATTGATCAGAGCCATGTGCCGCGTGTAGTTGAGTGCCGACGAGTAGGACATTCGACTCAGGTGCTCGTAGTCCCAATCCCAGATGGTACAGCCGCCAGACTCCAGTTCATATTCGCTAATACTGCGCTTCTCCGCCAGAGTCCAGTTGGTGGGCTGCAGTGCATCAATGCCGCACCACTGGTCATCGGGCAGATGGCCCAGCAGCGTGTAGGACGACACATGGAAACCGTTCAAAATGTTTGGCGTGACGCACAGAAAGAAGATAGCCCTATGAAGAGAATTGCAAACAGTTAGAACGAAGTGCAAATTGCTCGACTAAACACGCGATTTGGTGAAATTGTTTTGACAAAGTTTCTCCTGGCGCTAATTAATACAATTTAGATATTTAACAGCTCTATATTTATCTATAGCTTATTTTGTGACACGCAACTTTAATCTTTCGCACATGCACACAAATTTCTGATTATTAAACGCCTCGCGCTTGGATTTTCTATAATAATGTTGATCTAGCTGGGAATGCCTGACTGGGAAATACCCTGTACTTGGAAGCCGAGTTTAAGTTGAACAAGTTTTCACTTTCTCAGTTGATAATATTTTCTTTAGAATTTATCTTTCTACAGCCTATATTCAAATGAACTCTATAATATTGATAGAAATTTAACTATGAAGAACTCTACCAAGATTTTATACTACAAAGATAAAGTTTATTGGCCTTACAAGCTTTATTTAAAATAAATTATCTATTTATTTTTGGAAGTTCTATTCTATATCTATAGCTCTTCATCTCTGTAGAATTCGACTATGAAAACAATATCTGAATTCAGAGATCGTACAGATGTATGTATTTATTATAATTTATACTCTCTAACGCGAAATGCACTGTTAATGCATTAATAATTGCATTGACATATACTTCCTCCTAAAAATATTACCTATTATTTACCCTCCCCAACGATTAACAGATATAAAAGTATTAACGATCGACGATCAAACTAATAAATTGCGAGAATGAAAAAGTTGCGAAGGTTAGTGACACATTCCATAATCCAAACGTGGAGTCGCGCTCACGATTATATCTATTTTAAAAATTCAGCACATGCTGTGCTGAATATGCGAAGCATATGTGTGTTCGTCGTATTACGACTTCCAATATATGAATACATATTGAAAATGTTTTCAATGTAAACGTCATCGTCGCCGAATCGTTTGTCCAGCCGGGCAACCGGAACGCAATGCGCAATATTTACATATCTCAAATATGTTTTTTGTTGTTCTTCTGGGAGTAAATCGTTAAAATTCCAAGCATTTTGACTTTTGTTTAGAAGCTTTTTAATCTTAAATGTTTGTTCAGAGACTAGTTTTTGGCAGATCAGCGACTGTCCTTGGGTCAACGCCGTCCTCGCAATATCAGCATCAATATTCCACTCACTCAACTGAACCTCCTTGAGGCAATGCAAAAAAAGAGCAGTATATATACATAAATAGGTATACATATATGTATATAGTGATAATCATAATGAGTACCGGTTTCAAATACAAGTATGTAGATTGCTAACCCGATTCACTTTGGAAGCGGTTATCAGGTTCTGCCGTATAGATTATCGTTAACGGACACGATTTGTCTATTATTAATCCAGTGCATTGACTGCTCCGACATGGCTGCACATAAGTAATACGAGACTAGAACTCCTCGATCCCAATACAAATTATATATGTCAATCACGTGGCGTGCTCAGAATTTTAGAATTTGGTATAACTATTGTGTCGAAACATGTAGAGCTATATATACTATTTTTATTAACTATCAAGTAACTTAGTTACTTGTGTTATGAACTGAACTGAAATTCTCAGACGAATACTTAGTAGATTCTGTTTAGCTAAATCAGTTTTAACTGCATTTTTTCCCAGTTCTATTACAGTTCCAGCTGATCTTGAACTTTTTAGTGCTACAGCTTTCCTTATATTCATGATTTAAATCTTATAATTGTGAACTGAATAAATTATAGTCATATGTACGATATATTTATGAGTTATAAGGAAACCCTCTTTTTACCACACAAATGCGCCGCCACTGCCAACGACTTCCAATTGCTTTGTTAGCAAATCCTTCATGCTCTGCTCAGTGATGAGCTCCCTAGTTTTTTCCAGATCTTCCTTTGAGTTGGTCATTTTTGCAATTATCTTTATCACAGATTCTTTATAATTATATATTAATATATATAATGTAACACTCGAAGACGCAAACAAATATTTGATAAGAGTTCAAATTGAGAAATATTCCAAATATAGGCAATAGTAGGTCGTTCCACTTGATTGAAGAACTTTAAGCTAAACACATTTTGACACTGATCTCGGTTCTGAAACCAGATTCGCGTACAACAGTCTATATGTATGTATTATCTATGCCAATCAATTGCTCACAAAAGTCACGGATTTAATTTTGTGTATATATTCTATATATATTTGTATGTATGTATACATATGTATATAAATGTATATGCGTGTGTATATATAGAGCTTGTTGCGGCCAATTGTCGGGTGATTACGAGTGCATTAACACGGCGTATAGCCTCTGGCACGGGTCTTGAGAGCTATTGTCCGTCTCTTGGTTGCTCCGTAGTCCTCCAGTAGCACTGATAATACCTCAAATACAGACACGATCGACCGAAATGCAATGGCAATTGCGATAGGCAAATGCAGAGCTGATATCTGTTTTCTCTCTGCCTCCTTCGCCTTCTCTTTCTCTTTTTGTTTTTGTTTTCACTTTCACTTTTAGAATGTTCTTTGCGGTTTATCTTTCTGTTCTATTTTCTAGTTTTGCTCTAGGCACATGTTGTTGTTTTCTTTAGTCAGCTACACGTTTGTTTTTACATTTCACTTGTCAAAAATGTTTCTTATATGTTAAAATAAACATCAAATTGAATTCAATTCAATTTGTATGTGTGTTGCTGGTTTATTTTCTTTCTTTCTTTCTTTTTTTGTAGTAAGCAGCTGCGCGGCAAACGTTTCTAATTTTGAATGAACTTTCGAGCGCGTGTAGCGTGCGCCTTCTACGATGCACTCGCTTGCAATGCTACCAACTACTTGCCGCTTCGGAGGCGTCTCACAAACTAAGCCCACGGGGAGGTCGATCGCAACGTTTTGTACTAGCCGCCCGCTCGCCAGACAGACAAAACAGACTGGCCATACACATACATACATTCTATACTCACCATGAGCAGTGTGTACGCACTCTCATTACACTGAGACGCGAACACGCTTTGCTCTGGATTCGGCTCTGCTTCGACAACATTCGGCTACAGCTCTTCCCGTTTCATTTTCCATTTGCTTTTGCCTGGAATCGACGTAGTGTGCGTGAATGCATATGTGCGCGTGTGTGTGTGTGTGCCTGTGGTGCATTCCATTTTTGAAATCATTGCGCGTTAAAGAGATTATTTTCTAGTGACAATGGCACACTACAGAAGCCGGGAAGCAGCATATTAGGCAAATGTATTGTGATCATAGAAAAAAAATTTGATTAATAATCGTTGTATTGTGTATTGTATTCCGTATTTGGATAAACGTTGCAAAGATGCCTTTGCATTTATATAGTAGTTGCAGCTGGCTAAAATTCCACTTATCAACCAAATATATAAATAAATAAAATAAAATAAGAGAATTATATTTATTTCTATTTTCATTACTGAAACAAAGTTCTTTCAATGTAGGCAGCGTGATTGCAGCTCAAATGAGCAGTGAAACTCTCATCCCTTAATGTTACAGCTGTGGCAGGCAATCAATCTCTCGGCTTAGCCGAACCCAAAAATATTTTCTTTCCTTTTTTTGCACAGGATCTTCACTTTAAACGAAGACAATCGCCGTTACAAACTAATGCACGGGAGCGCGTTACAACAATTAAATATGTACTCTGTACAATAAGTACATACATGTATGTATATGTATGTATATATATTATGGTATGTATGTATGTCTGTGTGTATATAGTATGTATTAATTTAAATTTTGTCTGCATCACATTACAAGCATTAACATTCGCATGGTCGTCAGCTCTGTGCTGTTTGTTGCTGTCTCCCAATTCCGTTGTTTGGAATTGCGTAATTAAGAGCAGCGCTCTTAAGCAAAGTGCAAAGAGCAAAGAACCCATTGTCAAAAATCAAATTACAATGTAAGAGCTGTGAATGAATGATATGTAAATGATATGTTGAACTTCTAATGCGGAAGGCCCTTGCATTTAAATAAGCCATTGATAGTACAGGGTCTTGATTGTTCTCACTGCAATGTTGCATTTCTGATGTTTGTGAGAATAGTTTTCCACTTGAGTAACTCTTGAACTTGCCATATTAATGTAAACCATAAATAAATACATATATGTTTTCTTTTTCTTATTCTTATTTTGTATTCGTCTTTTATTGATTTGATGAGAATGTCAGACGCAATGATTACGATCTTTATAAGAGTTATCAAACTGGAACCAGATTTCTATGCATTGAACCCACTGAGTGAGGTTAACTGTATTAGCGTTTAGATAACATACATTTCAATTCAAGAGCTCTCAACTCTGGCCGAGCTCAATTAATCCAGACAAATGATTTTGACTACGTCAATCGACCGATCGACACCGATATCAATGGAACTACGTAAGCAACAACCATGGGGCTAAGCTCGGAGTGCTTGCAGGGTATGCAACAGTCAACGCTTTACATAAGCTTCTATTTTTGTGCACATTTTTAGTGTATTACTTGAATGTAGCTCTTAAATTATTGGTCAGCTTTTCTCATGCATATAATTATACATGAGAATCGCATGGAAAGGAGCATTTCTAATATGTAATAATTGAGAACAACCAAATGATGCGAGGCAAATATAAAAATAGAGAATACTTTCAATTTATTTCGAATTAAGTAAATAAATGCATATGGGCGTATACAGTTGACAATTTGATTGGGTTTACCTAGGCGGGTCTCCAGTTTGATTGTTGTTGTTGTTGTTGTTCCTTTAGTCTTTGTTTGGGGGCAACGCACGTGCAGCTATTATTGGATATCGGTTACAAGATTCAAGTGCATAAATCTCGTTAAGCTCATCATATATGCAGCCCACGTAACCAGACACGCCCACACTTTCACGAGTACCGCTCATTCATCAATAATATTCTTATATGTATGTATGCTTGGCACTAATCTAACGAAACTGACCTGATTCAATTTATCTTGAGTGACCGAAAAATAAAACTTGATTCCACTAAATAACTCGAGAACTTATCACAACGTCTATAAATACTACCTTGGGCACTAGTGCAAGCAGTAAAACGAGTATCTTGACTTTGTACGGTGAATACGATCAAGTACTTGAATATTGAATACCCTGAGAGGCGTTGATTATATGTGATTTTTTCATTTTTCCACAAAGATGGATCATTTTTAAACATCTTGAAAATCCTATATAATTTTGTAAATTAATTTGGCTTTGAACGGTTATTATTGATAAAATTCAATTAATCTTAATGTATTCGAGTTCACTTTACATATAAACAATTTTGATTGCTTCCGATTTTGTATGATTATATTTAACATGCTTAAAACTCTCGATGCGACAGGTATACATATAAATAATGTCTGTCACATCCCTAAGAAACCTAAATATTATACTTGGTGCTTGATGATTGAAATTTATGGGATCCAATTTGTTGGCGCTATTTACTGGAGACGCGACTCTTTAAGTGAATGATTACCCACTAGACGAGCTGGGAATTATGCAAAAATATTTATACTAATCTCTATAGCTGTGGACTCTAGCGAGTAAATTAAATAAGCTATGAAACAGTGACCGAGTGCCCGACTATGTATGTACCCTGATACTATGTAGCAATGTCAAAAGAATTTTGGACGTCTCAATATATATATAAAGTATTATATAGTTATGGATGGGCTTTGTTTAGACAGATTGGTTATAACTATAGCTGAGCACACAGAGAAGACCAACCACAAAGACGCTATAGTAGGCAATGTTGTACAGATTGAGACGACTGAGCAGCCCCGAAATGTAGCTAGTGCTGACACCGGCATAGCGATTCCTCTCGTGAACATCGCTCAAGTCCTGCCATCCAACCACTTGGGGCCGTATCACGAACAGTGCGTTTATGGCCGCCCTCAAACCACTCTCCACTGCACCAGCCATCAGATTGCGATTGCTGTTGGCCGCCGACGCTGAACTGGACCAGATGACTCGATTCCAGGGCTTGACCTGGGGCTTATGCAGCGTGGAGCTTAGCTCGCAAGTGAACTGTTTGTAGTTCCTGGGATCGAGCATTTCCTCGCCAAACTGCTCTGCCAGCACATCCAGCACAGTCTCTCGCACGGCGCCGGCCTGCTCCTCCGTGTGCAGCATGTAGCCGGAGTACTGCGACGAATCGCTCTCGTAGCCCACCACAAATGGATCAACGTTCAAGAAGAGACCCGAGTAGCCTTGGGTTATCCAATACGAATGATCGTAGCGCAAAAAGAATTGAGTTAACTGATCCATTTGCCGCTTAGCTTTGCCCCGCCCGATTGTGCGGTAGTGTCTGGGCAGTTGCGGCTCGAACTCCAAGGATTCCACCTTGTTCCAGGGTATGGCCAGTATAACGGCTTGTGCGATGTGCCTCTCGCCAGTTGAGTCGGTGACCAGCACATAGTTCTTGAAATGTTGCACCTTAATGGCCCTCGCATCGTACTGGATCTCATTGTGCCTCAGCTTTTCGAGTAACGCTCGTAGCAGAGACCTACAGGACAAGCTCAACAGGGATTTCGGCATGGTGAGATAGCTGCGATTGCAATTGAAAGATGTTACAAGATCAAATGGCACTAGGAGTACCTACAGATCAACTAGCACACTCAGTCCACCCGACGTGCTACACAGACACATAAACTCATCGTACTTAATGTCCTTGGCCGACACTCCGGAGGCCAATGTAACCAGATTGTACATAAACTTCCGAGACAGACTGAAGAAAAGATTCTGACATATATGACGCTCCATTGTTGGGATTCGGTTGCGATACCTAAAGACAATGCGTAGTTCAGTTGAATGGCTCATCTACAAAGGCCTCAAAACTCTTAACCAACTTATAACGAGAGTCGAACTTATTCATGCGCAGATCGAGCATATGGATATAACGCCAGAGCTCAAATTTGGCTAGAGTCGATGTTAGACCACGGTCCAGTTCCCAACAGCGGTTCAACGATTCATTTTGGTCGGACTCTTTACGCTCATCGACTTCCACGTTCAGTTGTGTCAAGAAAGCTATCAGCTCCGATTGGTCCTGTTGCACAAAGCGATGTCCCTCAGAGCTAAGCTGGCCGCCGGGCATCGAGCCCTCTTCAATAATTTTCACATTTAACGTATCTACTTTGTTTAGAATTTTGACTGCGGAGGTTAGCCCAGACAGACCAGCGCCCACTATAAGTACGTCAAGCTCTGGTAGTTCATTGCCAAAAGGTAAGTCCATTGGGAAACTGAAATCGTTTTGACATCTTCAATTTTGGAATCTGAAAGCAAAAACAAATTGACTCAAGCATAGCTTGAAAATATGTTTTGCAATAAATGTTGCATACTTTCAGGATGTCGTATAAAAATAAATTGCTGTGAGTTGAGCTAGACTTAGCAAGTGAAACTCTGGGGCGATACAAAGGGAGCCTTATAGCACAGGTATAAGGTATAGCATTAGGTAGAAGCTTTCTTGCTGAAGTTCAGATAATATATGTACTTCTACATTTTAACTGTATTTGTAATGCAAAAAAAAGGAATCCCAAACGCAGCAAAAATCGCTATAAAATTTTGCTGCATACTTTCAGGCTGAATCTCAAAATACTTGCTTGAAACTTTGCTACGGCGTTCGTGTCTAAACTTAAATGCTAGTTTGACAACTTATGTAGTAAATTTAAGTATATTAACTTGTTATAAACTTTATAAAGGAGAAGCCAATGATTTGTGAATGACAAATGAATAGTCCATCTTCTAAGCTAGCCATTCACCTATAAAGATAGGCTATCTATATTCCTCATAATATCTTTGACTAGGTATTACCATTATCATCAGGTGTTTAGGTATGCTACTCGTCTACAAAGATAAGCCCTCTGCAATCAGAACTTGCAATATAGCCATTATCAACTCATATGAAATGATTTTACGTCTATCAAAACAGTCTATTAAACAGTCTATAATTTCAGTTCTGTTTGAAATTAATCAAATTAATTTTGACACAGACATTGAAATTGACACTCATAACTATTTTGACTTTGAGCATAAGTTGTCGCCATATCATTTGCGCCACATTTGTTCTGGTTAGCTAAATGCACACAATGCGAATACAGATCAAATGAGCTTAGCCCAATGAAATCAGCCTTCAGGCCAGATCAATATTTATTGTTTGCGTAATCATTAAGCTTACCTTTTTTATGATGCTTGAGCCATGCAAATGACAATAATAATTCAAAATAATAATAAGTGAGTGCTGTTGATATATAGCGAAAAGTGAATGAATTCAAGCTGTTGAAAATACTAAAACTCAACTAAAGCGCTAAACATTTTTATTATATTAATGCTGTGACTGATAATGTTCAACTGTGCAAGTTGCTATGGGAAGGAGTTTATGATAACAAACAAAAATGCGGCCGTATCCAAAAATAAAAATAGAATTTTACGTTTCAGCAGCAGCTGATAAAATAAAATATTATTTAATAACAATGAATAATTCATTTACGATTGATTCAATGATAATCGTTGTTTGCCTGGACAATGAACTCTAGTTAAAGTAGAGCGGTAACACTACGCTCCCGCTCTCTCTCTCTCTCTCTCTCTCTCTCTCTCTCTCTCTCTCTCTCACTTTCCTATCATCTGCTTTGCGAATCCATCTCTATGAGGAGACCCACTTCTGCAGCTAATCTAAGTCCATAAAACGTTTATAAGCAATGAACTATTATGAAATATATTATTTAAAAGAACAAGAAGAAGAGGAAGAAACACCGTCAATTATGATAATTGTCTTTGTTTCGTTTTGTCTCGCTTTTAATGGAACAATAAGTGTACATACATATATAATATTGAGTTTCTACAAACGATTTGAGTTGAAATACTTTTCCATCGCATTAATAAATGCAAATTGCTTCAATTCGCTTAAATGTCGGTAGAGCCCTCGCCCCGGCCATCTTCACCCCGTTTTCGTACTCTTGCCATTGAGCATGCTGTGCAACTCTTCGGCGCGGGGCTCCTCCGTCTGCTTGGACTTCTTGCCAAAGTTTTCGCCATCCGCAATTGTCTCCGGCATCGGCTTGTTCAGCGTCTCCGGCAGCAACAGCGACAGCAGCCCGGCGGTCAGCGAGAGCGCCCCGCAGATGACCAGCGGCAGGGGTCGCCAGATCTCGCCCAGCAGATTCAAATACGGAGCCAAAATGCCGCCGACGCGCGCCACCATCGAGGAGGCGCCCAGGCCCACATTGCGCACCACCGTCGGGAACTGCTCGGCCGTGAAGATGTACACGGTGCCGTACGACGAGGTGATGGCCAGCTTGCCGATCATAGCGCAGGCAATCAGCAGCCAGTTCATGTCGCTGGGCACGGCGATGGTCAGCAGCAGGCTGGCTCCGGCCACGAGCATGGTGCCGCAGAGGATGGTGCGACGACCCCAGCGATTGAGCGTAAAGAGCAGCAACGTGTAGCCGGGTATCTCCACGGCGCCGGAGATGACAAAGTTCACCAGCTGATTGCCGCCCAGATTGTTCGTGTTCCACGAGAGGCCGTAGTAGACGCCGCTGTTCACGAACCAGTCGAAGAAGATGAGCAGCGTCTTGCGCCGCAAGTTGGGGTAGCGCAGCAGATCGAACACGGAGGCTGCTGGCTGGGCGGCGGCCAACTCATTCTTACGCTGAATCTCCTCCGCCTCATCGACCAGCTGGGCGTAGATCTCGCTGGGTATTTCCACGCCATTCACTCGGGCCGCCTTCTCGATGATCACAAAAGCCTCGTCCTTGCGCCCCTTGGACAGCAGCCAGCGCGCCGACTCCGGCACGATCCAGTAGTAGCACATGAAGAGCAGCCCGGGCAGCGTGATGGCGATCTGCAGCCAGCGCCAGTCGTGGATGAAGTAGGCAAAGCCCGCGGTCAGCATGAAGCCCACGGAGAAGAACATTTGCACTGTGACGCCTGCGAAGAGGCGATACGTGGCGCCCACCATCTCCATGGCAATGACGTAGGCGACCAGAAAGACGCCCGATGTGGTGGCGCCCACGATTAGCCGGGATATCGTATAGCTAAAGTACTCCGGCGCCACGCCCGCCATCACGCCGAAGACCAGCTGCGTCACCAGGGCGGCAAAGAAGGTGGGCTTGCGTCCCAGCTTGTCGCTCAGCTGGCCAAAGAAGAAGCTGCCCAGCAGCACGCCCACCATGAACAGCGAGTCGCTGGTGGCGCTCAACAGGCTGCGGCTGCACACCATATCCCACTCGGTGACGGCGCTATTGAGATACCTGGACTGGTCGTAGACGTACCGGCTGCACACCAGAGTACTCGCATTGCTGGCCACTGTGCGATTGCCCTCGAGATATTCCGGACTGTACTCGAGATCGTAGTAGACGCAGGCATTGGGCTTGCCCACGACGCTGTCGTTGGGGTAGGCGCGCGGCCACTGCCAGCGGGGCAGCGACTCGAAGCGAGCGGTGGCCACATCCTCGTGCGGCAGCAGGCAACGGAACTCGGGCCGGGCCAGCAGAAAGACTCCGGCCAGCTTGTGGAAGGCGCAGACTATGGCCGGCAGACAGAGCAGCAGGTAGATGCGTTTCTGATACCGCCCAAACTCGCCCAAGTGGGTGATAACATCGTCGTAACCCATGGCAGCCGATAGCAGTCAGTTATGCACTGATATATATGTAATATATATGTATATATGTATATATATGTATATATTGGCAATCACAGCGATGTTCACAGTCGTACGATTTGCAGAGCTTCGAGCGTGATCTCCAATGGCTGGCGCACAACTAGTTTTGTTTTTTTTGGGATGTTGCGTATACGCCGCGTATTGCCGATAAAGTGCCGCGTTATTGGGCAATAAAATGCATGCGAATTGAGCCGCTGCGCTGTCCGAAAATTGGAATTACGTTCTATGTATATAAATATTTTTCGCTGGCGCTTGTCAAAGTTGAAGCGCGCAACACGAACCGTTCGTGATCTGCGCCAGAACGCGACTAAGAGCGATACGCAGCAGCTGTTCCGAGAATTCACAAGAGTATCAGAAAAAAAACAAAAACAAAACCAAAAGCAACAACAACAACAACAACAGCAATGCTGACTATCTACAAACTCCGAGCAGCGCAACGCCGCTCTGCTGCTCAGCATTTGCCAAATCGCCGTTACACGTGTGTCCAGGTAACCAAATCAGTTGCTCTCCAATGAGTCGAACTTGGGCAACAGCCAGGGGATGCAGACGACGTTCGACGATCGACGATCGACGTTCGATGCTCGTCTAGTTTCTAGGTCAAAAGCGGGGTTGCATAGCACCTCGAGCATCGCTCGCTAAATTCTAATGCAGTTGGCAGCATTCCAGACCCAATGCACACCTGCCTCACGCTCTTATCTCTCTCTCTCTATCTCTCTCTGACACTCCCTCTTACGCTCTTGACTCTCTTGTCTCGCTCACACTGTTATTAGTAAGCGTTCTCACTTCATCTGTCTCTCTCTCTCTTGCCTTCTCTTTCTCTCTCTCTCCCTTGCCTTCGCTCTTTCTCTCTCTCTCGCTCTCAACTTTTGCAACTTTGTTGAGCATCGAAACGTTCTGAGCAATAAATTTAATAATATTCAGCGTAAACTTGACCGAGCCGAATGGAAACACATGTAACACATGTAAATAAACAATAAATTCTTAGCTTATCATCTAAATTAGTGCTGACGACTGAATTTATTATATAGTTCCATAGGCTTAACGCTATAACTGTATTCATTCACAAAATAAAAGAGTGTGAATCAAATTATTAGTTATGTGCTCAAGTTAAATTATTTATCGAAACGTTTTTAGATCTTTCTTCTTTTATGGGCTATCAAATCTACATGGTTCTCTATGTGAAAAATTTCTATGGAAGCCGCTCTTGTTATCGGAATGTAAAAATAAAAAAAAAAAAAACTATCAAATTTGTATGACATAAAGTGCTTGGCTTGAGCTTCATTATCGAACGGCATTTTCTACATATATATTTTCAATAAATCTAGAAATACCATTTTATTGAGGGCAAAAGAAGTACAGATTGTTGAGCATCTCATAGTCAGCTATGGCCGTTCAGCCAGATTTGCACTTGTTAAATATTCAATTTAATTTTATGCCTGATAACGAGAGTCTCGTGTTTTCCTAATGCAGATAAGAAATTGAAACAGCCGACGAACAAGAGTACTAAAAACGGAAATAGGTTTATACGTCTTTGAAATTAAAAATAAAAATATACTAAAATTGCTCCATACTTTCCAGACTTTGCGACCTTAACTAGACGAAACGACACTAATTTAGATTGCGAACAAATTTCTAAATCCGGGTGTGAAGCTAGGCAAATCAGGCGATATGTTATAGGCTATACGAAATATAGATCTAGTAAATCTATAGAAACGAAATTGGAGTTTAGATTTATTTACTTTGGTCCAGGAATAGTTACAATTTAGCAATATATATTAAATATATAAGTACATAGAGATAAGTACAATTGTCTAGAAATTCGTTTTAGTGTTAAGTCGTAAGTTTTTAAGTAAGTACTACGTTTATCGTATACACACAGACATACAGAGATGCAGATACGTATACATAGAGAGTAAAAATAATACATTGTCATAGTGGGCACAGGGTTGCGGTAGAGCACACTCTCAACTTCTCCTCTTCTCCCTCTTCGATCCCTAAATTTGGAATATTGGGTAGGACAGCAGTAAACCTACCCTCTAGTGACACTACTGAGCCCTGCTAAATGCCTAAAAGAGAAGAATTTTCTATGTGCTGTTTTTTCTCACTTTTTTCCTTTTTTTTTGGCATGCACATGAGATTTAAAAAAATATAATACTATGTCTTTTATGGAAAAATATAGCTGTAAGTACATCAGCCAGAAGATTAACGACCCCCGACAAACATGTTCTTACCTATTTAGCAAAAAGTAATTTGTGTGGAAGCTCAAAAAAAAGCCCACGTAGGGCACTCAATGTGAAGTCTAGTCTAACCGAAGCCACGGCTATGTTTAAAGTTTGTTTTCTTCAAGTTCAAAGATCTTTTGTTTTAGTACCCTTGTAGAGACGACGCTGTGAATATTGTTATGGAACGTGGAAGACATATAGATGTCTGATAAAAAGCTCTCTACTTGTCTGATTCCAAGCTTGTCTTTGGGTTTCTGATATATAAGAGTTGACAGTGAGAAGATCGGACGACTTAAAGATATAGCTGGCGAACTTTATTAGTCTATCGGAAATTCGGACAAAAAACTTGGTATTTTAGAGTATATCTATCAATATCAATATCTATATCTATATCTAAGCAATATGGAACTATTATATCGAATATATAAGTCTCTATATAGGGGAATTCTTTTATAGACCCATTATTAAACTGCCTTTTCGAATTAAATTTGGAACTTTTATCCTACTCTATCTCTCTAGAGACTGAAATCCGTATAGATATTGTCTACAAGGGCATTTCATCTTCGGCGTGGGCCGAAGTCTTCGGCTACTTGATTCGCTCAGTGTTTGAGCCCGTTGCCATTGAGCGTGGCCGCATTTAGGGGCTGTGCCTCCAGCTCCTTGCCCGCTTCCAAGTAGGCATCCGTGGGCTCCTTCTTACCGAATCGTTCGCCATCCGCGATCGTCTCCAGCGTCGGCTTGTTGTGCGTCTCCGGCAGCATCAGCGACATGAAGCCGGCGGCCAGCGAGAGGGCGCCGTAGATGACGAGGGGAAGCGGCGGCCAAATGGTGGCCAGGGCATTCAGATAGGGCGCCAGCATGCCAGTCAGCCGAGAGACCATGGAGGCGGCGCCCATGCCCACCGTGCGCACCACCGTGGGGAATTGCTCGCTGGAGAAGAGATAGATGGTGCCGTAGGAGCCCGTGATGGCCAGCTTGCCCACCATGGCGCACGTGACGATGAGCCAGTGCATCTGCTGGGGCACGATGATGGTCATCAGCAGGCTGACGCCGGCGACCAGCATGCAGCCGCAGAGTATGGAGCGACGGCCCCACCGGTTCAGGGTCAACAGCAGGAAGCAGTAGGCGGGTATCTCCACGGCGCCAGAGATTAGAAAGTTGAGCAGGACATTGCCGCCCAGGTTGTTGGTGCTCCAGGAGAGGCCGTAGTAGACGCCCGTGCAGACCAGCCAGTCGAAGAAGATGACGAGCGTCTTGCGGCGCAAGTTGGGATAGTGCAGCAGATCCCAGACCGAGGGCGGCCTGGCCGCCTCCTCCTTCACCTCCTGCTTGCAGCTGACGCCCTCGTCCAGCAGAGCGACCAAAGTCTCCTTCGTGATGTTCACCCGATTGAAGCGCGCCGCCTTCTGTATGATCTGCATGGCCTCCTCGTTGCGGCCCTTGGACAGCAGCCAGCGCACGGACTCCGGTATGATCCAATGGTAGCACATGAACACCAGCCCGGGCAGGGTCAGGCCGATCTGCAGCCAGCGCCAGTCGTGGATGAAGTAGGCGAACACCGCCGTCAGCATGTAGCCCATGGAGAAGAACATCATCACAAAGATGCCGGCGTACAGGCGCTTGGTGGGGCCCACCATTTCCATGGCGATGACGTAGGCCACCAGGAAGACGCCGGATGTGGTGCTGCCCACGATGAGGCGGGCCAGCGTATAGGTGAAGTATTCCGGCGCCAGGGCTGCCACCACGCCAAAGATCACCTGGATGACCAGCGAGGCAAAGAAGATGGGCTTGCGCCCGTGCTTGTCGCTCAGCTGGCCAAAGATGATGCTGCCCAGCAGCACGCCCAGCATGAACATGGAATCGCTGCTGGCCGCGAGAAAGCCACGTCCGCACACCAGGTTGAACTCGGTGACGGCGCTGTTCAGGTACTTGCTCTGGTCGTAGATGTAGCGAGTGCAGCTCTGGCTGCTGTTGCTCAGCCGATGGTAGCTGCCATTGGTGTAGGCCACCTCGTAGTAGGCGCAGCTGTCCTTCTCCGGGTATGCGAGCTGCTGCAGCTGCGCCGGCAGCTCGTACCTGGCCCCCTCCAGATCCGTGGGCAGCGCGCACCGGAACTCCGGCTTGGCGAGCAGAAACACCCCGGCGAGCTTGTGAAATGCCACCGGTATGGAGGTCAGACAGATGAGCACATAGATGATCTTCTGGTAGCGACCAAAGTCGCCCAGCTGAACGATAACCTCATCGTAGCCCATTGCTCAGTTGTCCGACTCTCGACTGGCCTCTAGCGCAGCTCGTCAATCACTAAAAGGTTTCGCTACTCTCCGCTCTGGTGCTCTGCGGTTCGGTTTCTCTGCTTTCTTCGTCGGATTCCCGCTCGCCAATTAACGCTTGGGCCAGCTGTGACGGTGACGTGTACTTTGTACCCCGCCGGAGGCGGACGCAATTAAGAGAGAGAGAGAGAGGGCAAGTATAATTGTCTCATTGGCCGCAACACGTGTTGCCCAAAAGTTTAGCAAGAACTGCCGATTCTGAGCGAGTTGCTGGCGATATGTTGCAATTCTCTGAAGAATCGAGCGACAGCAAAAAAATGAATTTGAATTTTTTTTTTTGGTTTTCGTTAGGTTTTGGCCCGCATGCGGCAAATGCGTCACGTTTGCCCGTTGAACTAAGCTGCGCGATTGAAGGCCGACGAAAGACTAAAAGCCGACAATACAATACGATGTGCTTGGCCCATATACTGGCCCACAGCCGAATGGCCGAGTATCCATCATGGCAGGCGCCCGAAGATATGACACGCAAAACCCAGCAAGCGCGAGTGAGACGGCGATAGTGGGAGAGAGCGCAACAAGAATTGCGCTCTGTTTGTATCGAAGAAATTTATCCAGCCATTAGAAGAGAGTGTGAAAGGGAGGGGGCGAGGGAGTGCACGAATGAGTGGAAGAGCGGGTGCCAAGGAGAGAGCGAAGCCGGCAACAACAAACTTAGCTACCCTATAAGCATGATTACTATTAATGCAAGAGGGGTTTCCAACCAGCTTACGCATTAAGGTATGACGCATCACGCGCATAATCACATGTTCACATATCAAACATACACACACACACACACACACACGTACATATAAGCAGATACTACATATGTGTAGTATATGTATGTACATACGTATATACATACATACAATATAGTCAAATACTTTAGACAAAGTACGCATTCACGTATGTACATACATACATATACATGTATGTACGTAGCTGTATTTGGAGAGTCTGCTCCATTGAACTGTAAAAATAGCAAAATTGCTTCTAAAGCTCAACAATAATATTTGCATAATGCCTTAGGAGCAATGCGAATAGATGAAAGTTGTCAACAATTCAGCAAATCTATCAGAAATATTTCTTTTATGTATCCCAATCCTGAGTTTTATGTATGTATGTATGTATAAATATGCTATCGAATATCAATGCAGTCATGCTCAAATAAACAAAATTCTGATATCTACCCTGTAGTCTGAATGGTCGTATCGACCATATGCATGAATACATATGTATGTACCTCCGTTATGTAGATAGCGCCTGAAGACTTTTTTTGATAGGAACCGAAGTTCAATTTGCAAAAGCAAATCAATAATGTTTTATTTAAAATAAGAACTTAAAAGACTGTATAGTATAAGCCTAATATTATCAAAATCTATATACCAGTATATCAGCTAAAAATTCCAATGCTGATTGTACGCCTCGCTCATATATAAAAGACTTCAGCGGTGCACCTAAATAAATAACGCTAATCTGTTCTCGAGTAAGAGGTGTCGTATTGTCGTTAATTTGTTTTCCTTAGTTTTCGTTTTACTCTACACACTCAAGTAAGAGGTATCATTAGAAAAAGTTTATTCTTTCACCTAGTCGAGGCTCAGAAATAATTTAAGTAGATCCCAAAGATAAGTGAGACACTCCAACTGCATTTGTTTGCTTGATTGTCAACTAAAGGGTATCATTGAGTCGGTCATCTGCAGTAAGTAACTTTTTGCTCGAACCACTCTCAGACATTCTCTCAAATAAATAATGCTAAATGGTCTCGAGTTGCCGCAGGTTTTCACTTACGCCGGGGTTCATTTAACTCTATGTTTCAATTGGAATTTGTCAACGGCAATTATTGTTTTTTTTTTTTTTATGGGAAATCAATTGAGTCGAAATGTCTGAAGAATCACGCTGTAAGGCTGTACCAGGCGAGAATCGTACGATACGGTCGCCATTGGAGCCAAACAGACTCAATTAGATCCAATTAGAGATCCAATTCGCTGACGAGTCGCATGGAGCCGAAGACAAAGGAAGACGAACATAAACAGGTTGGGCCGTACCAGAAAATGCTGGAACTCCAATTGGAGTTTTTGAGTGAAATCACAAAGAAGATGAAATGCCTGAAGGCAAATAATGTTGCTCTTGCCATAACATCTCCCCACATTTTTCTTCTTCTCTCTACAGCTAATTAGGCACAGAGATCAGATGATCAAGAGCAGAGCCAATGGCCGGGAATCCGCCAAGTCAATTGAGAGCAACATTGCAACACTATCTTAAATTCATCAATTGCTCATGCGTCCCGATTTCGACATAAACAACATGAGTTTGATAATCCCCATGGTCAAATCGCTGGACAAACTGGAATCTTGAGTAGTTCAGTCAATGCAGATTTGGCCAGAATACATTTTGTATGCAAAAATCTTGCATTGCCTCATAAAATGTTGCAACACGCAGAAAAACTGGTTAGAAAAACTCTCAATTTTCATTGCAGCCTTTAAGGCTTTGTGATTATTTAACTTATTACGACCAATAAATGTCAAACTGTATAAAGTTTCATACTTTAAAATACATATATACATTAAAAAGTAATATAAATTCAGCCCAATGTAATCTAATGACATTTTAGTCAGCTTTAATAAATTCAAACTTCGATATACCGCGTAAAATACTGTAGATCACACATATCGCATATCATAATCGGCTATACATCGATTTCCCTGTACACAAATGTGTCTACACACAGCCAAATGCCTCAGCTATTACGGCAACATGCCGTATTCTTGCCGCATGCTCTTGCTACATGCTGCCAATCAGCTGGATATACAGCAACATGGCAGCCAATGCTGAATGTTGCGCAACATTTTCACACATTTTACAGCACTGTATTTTTTTTCAAATATCAAATTTATTATCGGCTCTATCGATATTTGCATGCCATTTTGAGTTGCGCTACGATAACGATATGTCGAATTGGACATCGCGGGCAGTCGTAAGATAAACATCGAACGCTGCGGTCGGTGCGCGCACTTGGCGCAGTTGTACACGAGATCACATGAAATTTTAGTTAATAAACAACATACTCTATTGAAATACGTCAACAAAAAATTGTGTTCGAGGGCGTTTTTGCCTTCTGCAGCACATTAAACTGCTAACGGACAACATAAATTAAAGAAAGCCATAAAACGCAATTCGGCGCGTTCTTTGGCTCGTGTTATAATCAAAATTTTTAATTCGTAAACATTGGATTCATTATTTTGCCAAAACGGAAAGCAAGCGAAACAGAACGAGCGACCCTGATTACAAACAAAAAATCATAAAACACCGGCAAAACACTCCACAGCCGCGCAGCAGCAGCGGAAGCACCAATACAAACAGCAACAGGTAAGCGCAACGGATTACAGCAACAACAAAAAAAGTACAACAACAACGACGATGACAACTCGTATTTGCCCTTTCGGCCAAGCTGAAAAATTTGAGAGCGATGAGAGTTTTATCCGCTTCGTTTCTGTTCGTCGTATATGTGGATGGTTCTTATACCCTTTATACATAGTTAAAATGGGTATAATTAACTGAATGTTACAATAGTCAATAGACATATGAATGTATATTTACAATATATATGTAATGTGTGTACCACTTATAGATATACCACTACAATCTAAATGTCGCTCAACTTGACTCTTCAAGCTCGTATTTTATTTAGTGCTCATCTTTCGGAGATTATAAAAAAACATAAAAGTGTTGACTTAGGTCAAGAACTTTACGGTATCTGTAAATGAAAAAAATTATTTTTGATTTATCTCAAACTATAAAAGGGCTATCTGGTAGTCGAGCAATCTCAACTAAGTCGCGAGTATATTCTTTTGCTGCTGCTGCACAAAACGTGACCCTGAATCAATTGGAAAATTGGAATAGAAGGCGCAGTCGCGACATCCTTGTGGGGGTGAAACGACGGCAAATGTCAACAACAAGCAAATGCACCACCAACAGCAGCAGCTGTCTCACCCGCACACACTTGCACACATGCATAGATACATATGCTATATATAGACTGTAAAGTCAAAAGGCAAAGCAGAAGGCTGGAAACTGGAAATGTACATAGATATGTATGTGTGTGTTTGTTTCGACACGGGCACGGGCAACGCGTATGAAAACATAAAAATCATTGGCCCAGGGCCATTTTAATTGCTTGCGGAAACGAGAGTTACCAGCGCCCAAGGCTGGAAGGAGCAAATGTCCACTCGTTTGCGTTTGCTTATTCCAGGCACATTTTGCAATTTAATTGTATTCTTTGGAAATCATCTCTACAGACGTGACTAGCTCCTCGCGTTTGCGCGTGTCCATATAAACGAACAAAAAGCAGGCGCAACTCTTGTAAAACTCTCTCATTCTCTCACTCCTTTGCTCTCTCCAAACACATACGCTACACAGATACGTTTAATGCGCAGCAATACACAGACACACACCCTTTGTACTCAGGAGAGAAGTGCGCGCTAGTTTGATTTGCTCTAGACACGAGCAGCTAAAGCACGGTACAAACACGACTTGTTTAAATATTTATTATTTATAGTTACTTGGTTAGTTAGCTTTTTATTATAAAAAAAAAAATAATAATAATAATAGTAATAATTAACACAATATTGCAAATTTTAATTTTTAATACTCTAATAGACATTTTTAAAAATTAATAGCCTTTTATGTATTTTTTCGATTCATATTTACAGTCTGCATTCAAGTGCAAAACAATTTTACTCAAATCAAACATACAAAAACTTTTCATTTTGTGCAGATTCTTTGTTTTACTTCGTGCTACGATAGGTAAACACGACACACGCCCAACTCTAAAAGAGAACCCACACACACATACATACAGTTTTTTGCATATATTTTGGACAGCTTTGGGTATAAACATATTCGCAAAGCGTGCATTTTTGAAAGCCAATTAACGGGTTTAGCAGTACAGCAAAAGCAATTTTTGCATATACATACATATTTATATACGTATATATATATATGTATGTATATTTGTGTTGTTTTCTTTTTTTTTTTTTGTCTGTCAATCCAGTGGATTGTTGTATCTGTGTGCCGCACGCGTCACAGCGCTGACACTGCGAACTCGTTACTAAAATGCGATCGTCAATTGTCGAGATACATACATACATACATACATAGATCCTTTCAGTTTAGGGTGGACAGCTGCCCGAGGAACTTCCGCTAGCCGAAAATTGCTGCTGGTCAGACAACAATGGGCTCTTAGATCCGTGAGAGATGCTCGTTAACCGAATACTCAGCGCACCGCCCCATTCAAGACCATTTAGAGTGCTTGAACTTGTGTAAATTTGCATATAATAAAAGTGAAACATCTGTGGGCCATAGTGAAAGTTAGTAGATTAATTGGCCCCTT